GTTTTATTTGCAACCCAGACAAATTTTAAACAGAAGTCCGTGAAATGAAGTAAACATGGAAATGCTTGAGGCCATTTCTGCATCTCTTTTCAGGCTGTGACCATTGATTTATAGTAAGCACACTCACATCTTACTGCCATATGACGTTGGTGCTCTCTGTTATTGCATTTCCAATCTACAAAGAGGCCGTAGGAAACAGTTGTTTTTAAAAAAGCTGCAGCTGACCACACGAAGCCTCCTGTCTCAGTCTGGAGTCAAGAAGTTTACCATGACTAAAAAAAATACTTGGTAGCTACCAGAACTGCTTGTCATTTTGCTAGAAAATGCCCTTTTGTTCTGCTGCACACCACATCTCTTAACTCTTGATCTAAGAAGAGCAACCTGGTCTCACTCAGTTTCTTTCACTGTACAGACATGCAGTGAGTCAAAAGCAGCATCTGAATTTAACATCCATTTCCTACCAGTTCAGCTCATAAGTATTTGGTTTGGTTTTTAGGCATCTTCTAACTCACTGTACAAACCTGATGCTATGGAGAGCATCAAGTGTCAACTCCTGACCCTCTGCTTGAGCTTTAAGGAGCTGGACAAATTGAAAGTTAAGGGGAACATCTCAGACAGACGTAATTCTTGGCTCAAAAAAGTTTCAATTAAAAAAAACCAACATGGCCATATATATATGTACTTGGTATTCTCTGTCTATCAAATAGTTGTTAATCTGCACTTATATGGGTAAGTGATCAAAACAGCCTCTTTACAGAGACACTACTCAACATAAGATACCAGTTATTTGTATCTTTTCAGGACGCAGTTTTCTGAACACTGGAAAGCAGATGGAGGACACAGGACTCGTACCTGTATCAGGCATTTGCTGACATCGCTGGCACAAAGAGCCTTGTTGCAGCCTGTTGATGATGGGATCCACAGCAGGAACAGAAGGACAGTAACTGTGGGCGCCGTGATGTACTGTGACCTCATGTTTCCTGCAGGTGAGCAATTTTCACAAGTATTTCAACCAGCACTGAAACAAGAACCAGCGACTGAAAAGGCTGTTGGAACACAAGTTAAATTCTATTCCATTTCCACCTTCCAATTCCTTCAATAAATATGAATATTTTTTAAAAATGCAAATTGGAGTACTTAACAGCAAACCCAACTCCTCCTCCTCCAGCTAACTTGTTTGTACAAAGCTTTCTGTTATTGCACATTTGGATTAAAAGTACAATAAACTTGAGGTGAGCAATCTTAAGTTTGCAGTATCAAATATGACATCCTATAAGCAGTGTTGGTAAAAAAATGCCTTGGATGAGAAAATCCACTAAAAGAGACCTAATTTTGTAAATGCCCAAATCAGAAGGGTGGGTTTTGTGTAGCATCTCCTCAGGCTAAGCTACACACAGGTCTGTAGGACCAAGGCAGCACAGCAGCCTTTTACAAGGTAAGTTGCCCCTGTAATTTTTAATGCAGACAGGTAGCTGTTTTCACACGGACTCTTAGACGTCACATAGGCTATCAACCCAATTATAAAATTGACTTCTTTTTTAAAAATATACAGACACCATTAAAAAAAAAGTACCAGACACTTTGAACAACGTAACTTCCAAGAGCCAAGCAAGTGTCTGAGGTCAACCAGAGATGACAAGCATCTGCTACATCAAACAGACAGGAACTGGGTTTGTTCAAAGCATTCCACCTTTCTTCCCTTTGTGAAAACCCAGCCTGTCGGCAGGTGGTATTTGCGACAAATAGATCACGATTAGCAGCGTGTCACTCAGTTTCTACTTGCGCTTTGCACGTGAGCCCGGCCAAAAGAGGACCTACTGCACCAGGCACTGTACCAATATATAATAAAAGGCAGCCCATGTTTGGGCAAGCTCACAGTGAGCCTGTATTGTTCTCCTAAGAGAGAAAGAATGCTAATGGAGCACTGGATTGCTTTCTTTTGGTATCTAGACATGTTTTTTCTGTTTTATGAACTACAAAACCCAACATCCTCAATGAGCAAAAAAGTGGAAAATGAGGGCACGATCCGGATCTCGAAAGTCTGTGTTCGATTAGTCCTTCTTATAATGGTTGTTAAATGCCTCTGAATCTCGCTGAGCTGGGCACGCCGCCATCTGTACCAAGTTTTGCTGGGGAGACCCCCTGCAAGACCCGGGGGGCACGCACGGAGAACATGGGATCTTTTCCCTCACCGCTTTCCTTCCCTGCCATCCGGAGCCAAGAACGCTTCCAGCAGCTGCAGCTGCTGGCCCGGACCCGGCGAGTGCCGCATCCCGGGCGCGGGAGCCGAGGCGAGCACGCTGCCTGCCGAGGGGAGCGATCCAGGCGTGCTCCCGCACGGCTCGGGCGCGGGGCTGCGTTACATAAAGGGCTCCCAGCAGCGGGGCCGAGCGATGCCGTCTGCGCGCACAACCCTCGGGTGCGCACCGGGGTCCGGGTACCCTCCCCCGGCCTCCCCCCGCCGCTCCAGGTCCGATTCACCGACCAGACTTCTATCCTGCGCGGCGTCCCCCCGGGGCAGGACCCCCGCCCGCCGCCCCTCCTCTGCCGTAGCCCACTCCGGCGGCACCGGCTCAGCGTCGCTCCTCCGTTCCGCCGGGATCGCACCCGGGGCGAAAAACTCCCCAAAAAACGCCCGGGCCGATCGACCCGCGCTCGGCTCCCCGTCCCCGCCGCAGCTCCCGAGAGGCCCGGGCCCCAAAGATGGCACTGCCGGGAGGCCGGTGACAGGGAGGGAGATGTGCGAGAACACCCCCCGCCGAAGTGGCCCGGAGCAGGCGGGGCCCCGCACGGGGAGCGGGTCTCCTCCTCCTCGGGCAGGCACGCAGGCAGCGGGGCGGCCGCGCTGAGACGCACCGAAACTTTCCTGCCACAAAGAAGCAGCGACGGCTCCGCCGCCTTCTCCACCTCCTCTTCCCCAGCCACCGGCTCCATCCCTGCCGCCCCCCGCCCACTGCCCCGGCGGCGCTCACCGGGCGGCCCCGGGCCGGGCACCCCGCGCTCCGCAGGCGGCTCTCGCTGCTCCGCAGGCGGCGACGGCGGCGGCAGCAACCCCGCGCCTCGTCCCACTGCTCCCCCCTCGGCCGCAGGCAGCGCGGAGGCGGCGGCCTCGCATCATCGCCCCGCCTCGGGGCACCGTCAGGCCGGGACCCTCCCCCCGGGACCCTCCGCCCCGGCGGGCGGCGGCTGCGCGGAGCGGGGCGGGAGAAGGAGGCGGAGGCAGGGGCCGGTGGGTGGAAGCTGCTGCCGGGCCGTGCCTAGCGGGACGGGACGGCCAGGCCACTGCCTCCAGTGGGGCTTCTTCAGGAAAGCGCGAGGGCAGGCAGAAACTCGGGGTTCTGTGGGCAGGCGAGGCAGCCCGGGAAGCCGGGGCGGGAGCAGAGGGCGCCCGGGGCAGCGCTCCCGTGCCGGAGGGAGGCGGGAGAAAAGGAGCCGGGGGGCAGCGCCGCTGGAAGCGCTAGAGGGGAACGCGATGAGCTGCCCCGATGGCTGAGAAGGTGCAGGTGCCCGCGGGAGGCCAGGGGCTCCCTGCACTCGGAGGGGACCCTGGGCTTCCGGACAACCTCTCCCAGGACCTCTAAAACGCGGCAGGACGGCGACTTTATCCTCCCACGTGCCAAGCTCCAAGGGACCAAGGTAACAAGTTTGGTCCCTAGAAGAAAAACACAAGAGGATCCTGGCTGGGAACCCAGAAACTCCGAGTAGCTCTCGGGCTTCCCAGGAGGCAGCTAGACTCTGGCGAGGGAAACGGGGCAATCGCGCCAACGCATTATTACCGCATTTCGTCTTATCCCTTTTGCCCAGCTCCTGCCACTCTGATGAGGTAAATCCACAGGCTGGTGTCCTTAAACAACACGTGAGGTATCATCCCACAGAGTAAACTCGGGGAAAGAACAGAAAATGAAAAAAGAAAACCAAAAACCGGAACAAACCTTGGATTCAAATCAGACGCCAAGAGATTATTATCCGTGGGATTGAAATATTTGGAGTAATAAAACTTACTAAGAAGTTGCAATTGTAAAAACTCTGTTGCACAGACCCTGATACTGGAAAATAGTTTCTCCTTATAAAGACGACCCAGGCTAATACTAAGAAACATCTGTCTTCAGATCTCCTTACAAAATACTGCCACCAAGTATTTTTGTCACACACTTCTTTTCTAGCATAGCCAAGACTTCTGCAACCCAGTTTCATTTCTGTTCTTTTTCCTAGCTTCTTAATTACTCCTGTCTCATATTTCTGCCACTTCCAGTCGTCTGTTACTCTTTACTACTTTAGCAAGTATCTGATAGAAGTAACTTGTACCCACTTACTAGTTAACACCTTGCAGCTTTATCCATTTTTCCTCATCTTTTCAAGCAGATAAAACAGATTTCTGCAGCATTTTAAGATTTTACAGCTGTGGTCAGAAGAGTATTTAACTTTGAGAAGAAATTTGCTTGTTCCTCAATAGTTTCACTTTTGAATAAGGTCAGGAAGATATTCCTGTAATAAAAGCAGGAACAACTTCTCCTTCCACAGGTACCTAACAAATCAAAAGTGAAAAAAAAAAAAAAAGTTACAGGGCAGGAACTACATATTAATTGGCTTTACTGTGCTTGAGTTACTATTTATTCTAAACTGGCACTAGCAGTGATGTGCAGATGGAAGGAGTCTGCTGTCCACAGAGTCTGTTGTTCCGCTGCCTGTTTGCCCTCTGCCCCAGGAAATGCCCCCTGGTAATTCATAAGCCAAGGAATAAGTTCTCTGTGGTAGCTCACCTAGTCATTAAAAATCAGTTCAAAATCAAGGATTTTAAATCTCTTATTCTGAGTAACCAGCTGTCCTGCCCAAGCCTCACTTCCTTCAGAAATAATTTCACTGACATCAGATCTCAAGCTTTCTTGAATAATTTACAGCCTGGAGGGTAATAAATCTTTTTCATGAATATCTGTAACCTCCTACTAATAAATAATTAACTGTTTGCTCATTAACAGTACTAAGAATAAAAAAGTATTGAATTTCACAACATGGAGAATTTTTTTTTAATTTTTCCATTGAGTCTCCTTACATATTCCAGGAATGCTAAGGTTTGATGTATCAAGTGTTCCAATATGAAGAAATTCCAACTAATAACATGACCAATAAAATTTATTAAGTATTATATTTACAACTATTTACACATCCCTTCCATAGATTAATATTAAAATAGACAATATACAATTTAAGAATTTTAATTCAAAGGCATTTTGTTGGAAAAAATAGGCTCTATTACGAGACCACCATATAAGAGCAAAAGGGTTTTTTTTGCTTTACACAAAAATATTTTCAGTATAGGAAGTCATAGGTATGGCATTACAACAGCAGACTAATATGAAGTATGATTTTGTAAATATTACAACAGTTTAGGTATCAGTTATTGAAGGGAAGGAGTTGAGAGTCCTGTGGAGCATGCAGTACAGTTCAATCCTCTTACAGTTATGGCGATGAAACAAGCAGCTAAATCAAACGCATGCCATACAAAAAGGAACTGCCAACCAGGAACACACTACACTTAATAAAAACGACACCTTTGGTCCAATAAAACATTAGACAAAAACAGTTTTACAGTTAAAATATCTATTTTATACAGGTTTGAACATTAATTACAAGACTATTTACATTTGCACAATATGTATAAAATAAATTATTTAAAAATGAAGACAATACTTCATCTTCTTCCAAAAAGAAATCTGTACAGTAATTTACAAAATATAGTAAGATTGATTCTTTTCCTCCAAGTCTTACACTTTCTTCCACAGGTTTTCTCATCATTTTTCTGTGGGAGTCCAACTGTTACTGAAGTTTCATAATACAAAGCTTTATAGCAGATTTTAAGTATCGTTTGCTTTTTGGTGGATGTTTTAGTTATTAACAGCTTCCAGCGCTGTAAACTCACCAGGTTTTATAATCTTTTTCAGCAATAAGCCCTAAATCTACAGGTAATTTTAAAACACAGATAACAGCAGTTACTGGGAATCTGAATTTAAAATCAGCATCCATTTTCTGTGTTTGAACAAGTGTCTGTGCCACACTTCTCTGTAGGAACACCTGAATTATGGAGAAAGGTAGTATTCCACAGAATTAAGTGCTCTGTCTCAAAAGAAAAATACCTTTGTGCATCACTGCACCTCAGTCTCTAGCTGTCCACGGGGAGGGGTGAGCCAGATGGTGCTGGTTGTCATATGGGTGTCAATTCAAAGTCATCATTAACATCAACAAGAGGAACATAAAACTCCTGAATTTCATAAATGCTGATAGATTTGTATGTAGCAGGATCAAGCTCTTGCAGTTTAAGTTGCCACTCCAGTCTCTGCACTGCATTCAGCGCTGCTGCTTCGTGCTGCTGCCTCATCAAAAGGCACGTCTGGTTTAAAATTGAGAAAGAAGTTATTGAAATATTTGAAAAAATATTTCGTCAAGTTTGAACACAGGAAATATCTTGAAGAGCCTCTCTGGTAATAGTAAATAATTCCCCCAGTATATATTTAGAAATCTGCAGTATTTTCCATTACACTACACGGCAACAAAAGTTAGGTTTTTTTCTATACTGACAGACCTTCCTTTGTGTTGCCTCCACAGAAGCCCATGATACTGCACACAAATCTATTCTTTATTCATCTCCGTGCTGACATAAAAAAACAAAACAAAATTAAAGTGGAAAAACCAAGAAGTGTACCTTTAATTTGTCAAATTTATCATCAACATCCTGCAGCCATGACATGAACTGTCTTGCATTAAATCGATCTCTCACCGATGTTTTGCTGTCATCAGTCTGCAAAAAACAAAAATTGATTAAAACTTCATGATTCAATCTGAAACATACTTTAAAACACAAAACCTACTCTGTGGGACATAAATAGTAAACAATCCCACAAACACTGCTTCCCATGGAAAAACAGATTCAAAGTACAAAGGTATATGAAAGTATAAATGTTGACCAACACTTCCACTGTGAGCTAGCTGCTCACTAAAAATGAGTATTTTCAGATTTCCTCAAGCTATTTACTGTGCTCTGATTTTGAAATTTAGAATGGAAGGCTTAAGGATTTATACCTTAATGTCTTAACTAATAAAAGGCATATCCTTCCACAAAATTACTGTCTATTTTCTCTTTAAAATTCTGTAACAAATCAAATTGATATCCCTTAGGGAAAAGCAAAAACATTAATAAAGAAAATATTAAGCAGCCTCATTTAACTGACTATAGTTTCAAGTATTGAAAGCAATTAAAAATATTTTTGTCATCGCAATCCCCAAAAGGAGATTATAAAATGGAGCAGACCTGTCTTACATCCTGCTTAATGAAATAGTTTTTTTTTTTTTAAATTCCAACTTTTTCAAAAGGATATGGAATGTCACATCTACCCACTGTGAAAAACTAGATATATGCTATGCATAGTCCTAAAGCCAGACTATGCCAATCTAACATTTAAATGATAACCACTCAATACAAGAAACTGCTGTTCCTCTTTCAGGGAGAAAATAAGACACTGCATGAATCTGTACACTGAGGCAGAAAGAACAAAAAGAAGCCCAACCACATGTGCAAAGATTGACCTTTCTAGAGAACAAAATTAGTATTTGCTAATGGGGTAACAGGAAAATGGCAGAATGCATTACAAGACAATGTTTTCTTATGCATCTACATTCTTCCCATTAAACAAATTTTAATCAAACCATCAGGTGGGTAGTATAAAACATTGATTTCAATTACATAAAAAAAATTATTTCATAATTTGCTGAACATTATATGCAATGTAATTTCCTGAGAAAAATTACCACAGACTGAAACACAAAGCTGTTGATGTAGTGAGGGGGAAGGAGAGGCATTTTATTACTGCTGTTATTATATAGATAGTAAAAAAAAAAAAGGCAATACTTGGGGAGCACACACAACACCTCAACTTCTCCCCCAAAAAAGATTCCTTTTGTTTCACAAAATTCAAATACAGAATCATCTTACTTAAAACGAACTGTAAAATGTTAACTACAAAAATTCAGTTATGTGCACAACTCATGTATCCCTCATCTCTAAAAAGCTCAAGGCCTATGAACTGGAGCAGAAATAAAATGAAGTATATTTGGAATTTTGGAAGAGAAAAATTTTTGCCCTATCAGTTAGAAATACTAAGAAAATTATACTTTAAAAATTTATCTGTATGAAGCTTAAAATGAGACAACACAGTCTCCATAAACTGCTATCTCCTGCTGAATCAACTTGTTGGGCATAGCTCTAGTTCTTCAAGGACTGGGGAAAAATGTAGTCACTGATTGAAGAAACACTGGAAGCTGTAATAATTCTAAAAAGGGCTGCAGAACTAATGTAAAATCTCTCATATGTTGGAAATGTATGTGTTTCATTTTAAAATGCCCAACATTCAATGCATTAACACTTTTATTACACCCAAAACATCAACATTTCCTCCTTGTGCTTCTCACAGCCACCGTAATAGGTGTCAAATGCTCGTTCTGTGTTTGTTAGTTGGAAAAACTGTCCACAAAATACCAACACAATGAGATTATTTTCTCTTAGAGATACAGATGCAGCCAATTTTTGAGTGACAGTCCATACAACATAAACAGATTGTGAAGCACATTGCTTATTTTATGTTTTAATCAGGACTAAAACCATGTTGAACATATAAATAACAGGGCACAGGTAAGCTATATGAAGCCTGAAATAATTCTGAAAAAGATTATTTCATCTGGTGGCATTCAACATTTCACTGTTGGTCATCTGTTTCTGATGGTACAGTTCTAGTGACTGCCTTGAACAGAGGAGGAAAGCATAATGTGGATACATCCACAAAACATCTCCAGATTTCATAAACCAATTTCATCACTTCACACATTACTGCATTCCAATTATCTGGATTACTGATAGATGTCATCTTCTATGCTGGTAATTTCTTTGCTCTTGTTTAAGCTATATTCGTAAGCTTCAAAAACATGTTCTGTTTATGACTGAAATCTGTTTTTTGTAACAAAATTAGTAGAAAAATTTTCTTATTTTATCTTCTCATAATTCCTGGAGGTGAAAGAAAACCAGACATGGTACAAAATGGAAAAACCACACACATACATCCATCTCCTCCTATTACTGTACACCCAACTGAGGCCCAATATGAATAACAACTTCTAGTGGGCATAATCCTAATTCCAGGCAAATCAATGACAATGTTGCTATGGGAACAGAATTCTCTCTGAATGCTTGAGCCAGGCTAGCAAGACCTTTTTGACTGAAGCTGTGAAGGACAAATCTTTACCTGAGCATCCAGAGGCACGTTGTACACCTCAGCATCCAGCAGCACAGTGCAGGCACTGAAGGGCAGAGTTTGATTAGCCAAGGTCCTGGCTGCTCGGTAGTGAACACGTAAAACCTCTTGCTCATTAGAGACAATAAGCTTTTCCTAATTAAGATATCAACATATAGATATACATTTAGTGAGTTAAACATTCATAAAAATGACCACTAATTGAAACATTTCTTTTCAGGGCTTACATTTTTGAACACTGTGAGAAACGGGCTGCTGAAGGTAGGAGGGGTTGTTCTTCTAATCAAATAAGAAATTTCAATTTGATGAAGCAGTGTGTCCCATGGATGTCAGAACTGAAAACACCTTCCCCTTAGCCCCAGCCTCCACTGATGGCTGAATGTTTCTACTTACTGAGGCAAGTCCTGGTTAATGAGGGTGATGAAAGATGAAAGGTAGGAGGAGCATAGGGTTGGGATACAGATTTATGAATATTAACTGTATAAAGCCTTTTACTCCAGGCACAGTGGTCAAGCAAACTGAAGCAGAAATACATTATTTGCAGGATAATTTTTTAAAAACAACATGCAGTAACTCCCTAAATTCACATTTGTATAAATATTCTTTCCTAAACTGAGACAAGAAAAATACAACTCGCTTAACAAAACTTGACTTACAGCTGTATAAAGTGGATTTAATTTGAAGAACAGCCTATATGAACAAAATAACTAGGAATATGCACAAATTTTTAAGACACAGAAGAATGTTTGTATGTGTTTAGTGCTCTACAATAAAATGGCTCTAATTTTTATCAAAATAAAAAGGTGCATTATAATACAATATATTTCTTGTTTTTTCAGAAAACAGGAAAAGGACCACCTTTCCTTTGGTTATAATCATAGAGTCTGTGCGGGAATGGACCTTAAAGATTATCTACCTATGACCCTCCAGCTGTGGAAAAGAACACCTCCCACTTGACCAGTTTGCTCAAGGCTCCACACAGCCTGGCATTGAACACTGCCAGGGATGGGGTATCCACAGCTTCTCTGGGCAACCTATTCCAGTTACTCGCCACCTCACAATAAAGAATGTCTTCTTAATATCTAATCTAAATTTCTCTTCTTTTGGTTTACAACTGTACCTCCCTTCCACTTTTCTTATCACTATTTGCCTGTGTTAAAAGTCACTTACCCTCTTTTATATAAGCCCCTTTAAATACTGAAATGCCCCAATGAAGACTCCCTGGAGCCTTCTCTTCTCCAGGCCAAACAGCCCCAGCTTTCTCAGTCTGTTCTCCAAAGGAGAGGTGCTCCAGCTCTCTCATCAGTTTCCTAGCCCTGCTCTGAAGTCACTCCAACAAGTCCATGTCCTCCTTCTGCTGGGGACCCAGGGCTGGATGCAGTACTCTGGGGCAAGGGTATGATTTCACCAGAGCAAGTAGAGGGACAGAATCCCCTCCCTCGCCGTGCTGGCCACAATATTTTTATTTGCAACTGATTTCATTCAGAATTTGAACCACATTTACAATTTCTGTGCTTTGTATTTTATACTGTTCACTGAAATACTAAATTCAAGTAAAACCCCTCCCTCAGATGAATTTGTTAAATCACATTGAAATTGTCAATTGAAAAAGTATCCCACTGGGTTTGATGTGGCAGCTCCTTGTATAACTACATGGAAATCATTATGATACACCCCTGTCAGAAAGGGACCCTGCCTGTGCCCACAAACTATCTGGCTCGTGATCCTGGCATCTAAAGCTGGGTTACCAAGGAAAAAGGGCAACCTAAAACTAAAGAATACTCCTAAACTAGGAATATTTTCTCTTTTTCTGTGCTCAAAATCAGTGATGCCTACAGATGTCGTTCTAATATAATTCTAGGCAGTTTCTGAGTAGAATATTGCCAAACGTGTTTTAGTCTTAGAGCCACACATGCCTCCTCTCAATACAAAATTTACTGTATCTTCAGTTCTTTTAACTCAGTCAATTTGATTCTGAAGTCTACAGCCATCATTAGCTTTCAAAACTAGTGTGAAGGTTCCTTCCCACTGCCTCTAGGGACACAACTCAGAGCAATTAACATGAAAAAGGTATTATCTTACCAACTTGAGGGTTCTGCAAACAGCTGCTCAAACCTTCCCCCCCCCACCCCAAAGTTTCTCCAATTAATACATTTGAACAGAAGATTACTTCTAAACATTGTTAAAATGAGAAAAATGTAGTCTCTCCATTGAAAAGGGAAAAGATCCTAAAGCTTAAATCCAGGACATAAAAAATACATTAGTCTTACCCTTTCAATACTGTGCTGTAAACGTAGTTTCATCCTTACAACCTCCTGTTGTTTAAATAGTTCCTTAAGTGGGTCCGACAGTGATGGAGGTGGTGTAATCTGTGGAACAAATTTTATAAATAATACAGTGAATATGTAGTTAACATGTTTAGCACTGCTCATATGATCTATTAAAAAACCCCCAAGAAACAATAAACAAGGCATTTTTAAAGAAAAATGCTTTTTACTTTCCATTAGTTATGTGAATTCAATGTGTTTGCAGTAAAAAGTTTTAAGGATTCCATATCATAAAATTAATAAACCCAAGTGAAAATGGAGTTTCAACCTGTTTAGTGCTTTTAAACAGTCATTATCAGCATTCCATAGCTGTTCTTTTTAAAAGGCTATACTGTAGAATATAGGAAGAATACAACCTGCTTCCCATTTTAAAGACTCTTTAAAACACAGCTGTTCATTTTGAGAAGATAAAAACTGCCTAGTAAAATGCAAGAGCAAAGTAAAAAAAAGTATTGCTAAAAACACCCCAAACCACTTGATATATTCATACAATAGCAACAGCATTTTATATTGCCAAAAGATAACCAACCATACTCCTAATCTTGCAATCACGCAGAACACAGGAAAGCACAAAAACAGACTAGAGACCCAGACAGTAGCCTGAAAAAGTGTTTCTTCCTGTCAGTTATTCAAATAAGTTTTAAAAAAACTTTATTCCTTGAAAAGAAAGTAATTTTAGAAAATCACAAACTTGAGTGACATATCAATGCTGTTACTAATTTGCTATACTATAAACATTACTGTCTGGTCTGAGCTGCATGAAAAACACTGACAAGGCACCTGGAGCTCTCCTGGCAACTGCAGAAATCAGATGCTTTTTGAGAAGTAACTAATAAACTTCTTGGGAGTTTTAAGACTCCACCTAAAGTTTACTTTCCTTTATGCCAGTTCTATCAGACAGTTCAGCATGAGTTTTAACAACTGACAGATGTAAGAGCACTGATAGTGCTTTGGAAAGACCCATTCAAATTACGTGAAACACTGCCTACTACCACTGATACTCAAAAAACACAGCTCAAGTACATACCTGCAGTTACTATACCCTACCTTGTACATAACACAAGCAGAAAGATAAATAAGTCTTTTCAATAAAATAGATCCTTCAACTGTCAAGAAGTAATAAATCCATCATGGAAATACAGATACACTATAGATTAAACTAGACTATTAGTAACAATCTTGCACCTATACATTCCAGTAACAAAGTGATTTATCTACCAGAAATGCCTGAATTATTACTATATTGGAAAATTTTTTCAGGACAATTTTTTCTCAACTGGAAGTTAGCCAATGTCTCTGGAATTATAGAACATAATCTGAATACCTGATTGCAGTTCATTCCTTACATTATTATATGGCATAAAATGACATTCAACCTTTTCATATTTCAAACTACAGAATAGGATAGACTTCCTTTTTCTTAGTGAAAACAGTATGGCTCTCAAACCAGCAACGTTTATGGCATATGCCATTTTTTATAAAACATCAGTATTAAAAACAAATACACCCCCTATACTCTAGTTTTTCCTGAAGACTTTGCATTCATGGTACAGTACACTAGTGCTGTCACTGTCTTTCAATAAAATAAGACAAGATGCCTGTAAATAATATCAAGTTTTAATTTTTACTAAACCTAAAACATCTCCCAAAATCTCCATTATTTTGCTTACAGAAAACCACACAGATAAGATACAAGAGAGAATCTAAATAACCTTTGGGTTTATGCTCCTGGATTTTCCAGAAATAAAAACTTGAGCTGCAAGCATCCATATCACTTGAACAATTTCACAGAATCACAGAATGGTCTGGGTAGGAAGGGACCTCAGGAGTCATTGAGTTCCAAGCTCCCTGCCATGTGTAGGGATGCCACCTACTAGACCAGGTTACTCAAGCCCCATCCAATCTGGCACTTCCACAGATGTGGCATCCACATTTTCTCTTGGCAACCTGGTCCAGCATTACCACTCTCACAGTGAAGAATTTTTTCCTGATACCTAATCTAAACCTGTCCTCTCTCAGTTTGAAGCCATTCACCCTTGTAACGTCATTACATTTCAAATATTATAAAATGTTATTCCCTTAAATTTACAGACAGTTTAATTTTACAAGAGAAATAAGAATCAACACCACAGAAATAACCTGACAAGGAGCAGATCATCTAGACAGCAGAGCTGTGTGGACTTTTATATAAACATGTAGAACTCTGTTTCAGCAGATTATGTTCAGCCCTGAACACAAGATTATGTTCAAACCTGTGTGACACTGACAGGTCTCCATGACCCCAGAGATCCCTATTACCACTGGATACATTCATAAACTCTTCACCCCCGCCCAGCCCAGCAGCATCTGCCAAAATGTACTGCTAAATGTTAGGTTTGGTTACAGTAATTTATGCAATGATCTGTTCTTTCCTCTCTTCTTGGAAACTTGGGAAGAGTGATCCTCAGATCTTTAGGAATCTGAACATAGGATTTGGGCAGTTGCACATCACCTACTGGAAATCCAGCTTGTGAAAACAGCAGAGATTGAGACAAAGGAAATTGGTTTATTTGAGACCAAAAAGTCTGACTTAAAGGTTCTGAGGGAGGAACAGCCAGAGGAGCCTCTCAGACCTTCTAGTCAAAGAAATTGTTACTAAAGAGAACACAAAAAACTGTGTAGGGAAAATACAAACACAGAGGTTGGGTTTGCAAAAACAGAGCATGAAACTGAACACCACAAAAAAAGGTGCTCTCTGTTTTTTGCATAACCAAAATATTGAACTATTTTCTTAAGGGCCCAGACTTCATACAGAAGAGAGGGAAACAAAGGGACCCTGCCTGATTCAGTCTGAGAAATCACTCAGAAAAGCCAGACAGAACTTGGCCTTGTGCCTCTGCTCCACCTCACTTGGAGCCAACCATTAGAGCAGGTTTGATTGGCTAGAGCTCATGTTCAAGACATACCCTCCCCATCTCCAACACATCAAAACCCATCAGCAACTTTCCTGCTTGCCTTGCATACTTCAGAACAACTACAACAAGAGCATCAACTCTTCATTCCATAAACCTTCAATGCCAATTTGTCCTCCTCCACTCTTCTATGTCATCCAAACAACCGGCCTGCTCTAATGCTCTATTTCATGCATTTTGAAAACAAGTTTCTGGTAATACCCCTAAAATTAGATTTTACCACTTGAGCTTCTACAGCAACGCTAGGGAGACTGGACAGAATCTCCTTTACTAGAAATAAATCTGCTAGACAGCCATTGAAGGCTGGCAGTGAATCATCCTGATACCTCCTCTCAGGAGACAATACAGATAAAGATGACTGAACCCTGTAGAACTTGGAACAATCTGAAAGGCAACAGAGCCAAGAGCCAAGTACAATCGAAATGTTAGAAGATTGAGATTTTTTTTCTTCAATTTTAAACTGACCTGATGTCTCCTACCTTATGTTTTGTATTTGTACTGATGAGAGGGAAGCCATAATTCATACATGAATATCCTCAGCCTTAGGTGATCTGGGCTGTAAATTACAATATATAGACAAGGCTGTGGAAACAAGGTTTTAGCACACCATCTCCTAGTTCCCACCTACAGCACATTTGAAGTTCATCAGATAACTACAGTGCATCATTAAAATTCCAGTGCAGAGAACAGTAAACATACTTTTCCATACACCAACCATTCTGAGACTCAGAGTGTCAGAGCTAAATATATGGTCTCCACACAGACCTACACAAAGGATATCTGTAACACAGGAATAATTAAAGAAAGGGTATCTACTTTCTCTCTATGACAATTGATAAGTAAAAATTTGGTTAACAGAGAATTATTAGAGAATTGAAGGAAAAAACTGCAAAACAAACATGACAAAAAGGTAATTTTACAGTTGCTTATCAAATTCTGCATTGTAGGTATAACAACATGTTATTAATAATTCAGAGAGACAAAGCTTAGTCTTTATTTTCACTTTGTTGGACAACGTGTACAAGAAACAAACACTCATTTCTGAGAATGAAATGATCCTTGGTTTAGCAATTCTCCTTTTTATGGTATTTGTAACAGGAATTATTATGATTACAATTTTCAATGGTGACTAAATAAAATCGTTAAACTGTGTACACAAGCAAATTCTATAGATAAGTTAAATCTGAACTATTACTAATTTTTTAAACAATATTTTTTTCTGAAAGGAAACATGAAAAGTTTTATCAAAATTGTACATTTACACAAGTGACAGTAATTAAATAAAACAGTTGCATTGGAGATTTTTCAGACACAAAAAATGAATTGCTTAGAGTATCTTCTTATTTAGAGCAAAACTCATGCTTTTTCTTACACTTTAATTCTAATGAAAATAATCCCCAATTTCCTAATAATTTATTTTGGTTTCTCAAAATTTATCTTCTTCCCTTTTGCTTCTAGGAACTTTAAATATCAACTTCCACCTGTTCTCTCTCTACATCTGTAGAATATTACCAGGACCATATAGTATATACAAAACAACTGTTTAAAACATCATTACCATCAGAACATGTACATGTAAGGAGGAAAACCAGAAATCTAAATGAGACAAAAATCAGTAACTGTAACTCTTTAATTACATGTTTACTTTTTAATCAATTTTTTTAAAGAGGCTTTCCTTTTCAACAACTGATTAAAAGCCATTGAGAATAGGAAGCACACACCCATCTCTGGTATTTTCTGAGCCTGTTACCTGAGATTTTGCTCTCCAATAGCTAAATTTATTGTCAATAACTGCAGAGTTCCTATTATACATAGTAATAGAGACAGGAAGTAATTATAAGGCAGTACTTTACTATCAAGTCAAAAACTCTGCCCTCCTTATATGTCTACGCACACATTGCCATTTATGATTGAGAATTGAATTCTATTGCTCAGGTAGGAGATGGGCCAGGAAAAAATATATTCCATGCTTCTCTACTTTCCACTTGACCCAAATTAGGCACTGAAGTGTGATGCCAAAGCAGCGAGCTGTAGCTTGGAAACAGTATGCATTTGACTAGCGGCAGCTTTAAAAAAAAAAAAAAAAAAGAAATCTGTGCCTCCAGTGATAAAGATGTTACAGAAGCTGCAACAGCTACTGAGAAAGATTTGTAGACTTGGGAAGGCTGACAGCCTGGTACACACATTGTGGTGAAGCTTACCATACACCCTGGTTCACCCACAGACCTTGCAAGAAGGTCTTACCCACATCCTTCCTTAGACTGCAACTGGCCTAGTAAGCCCCAAAAAATTAGAACAAACAGCTTGTGCAGGGAATTAAGACTAGCTGCATAACAAAGCAAACATTTTAAAATCTACATATTAAACTCCTATTCATTGCTTCATCAAAAAAATCCTCAACTCTACTGGAAAAAGCTAAAGCCTTTTACTCTCAAGTAAGGGTGAGTTATCTTAGATGAGCTGACATCATAACTTGTCCATTGAAAAAAAGAGAACTTAGACCTAAACAAGTGTCTCTGAACTACAGATGTTCTTCAGTAAAAAGAAAAAAAACCATGACATTATTTAATAAAATTATGAACAGCTTAGGTTGATGGATTACAAAAGCCAGGACACAGCAGATTACTTCTGCTGCTTTTGAGATAGCTGGCAGGCACTCTCCTGCTTAAAACATTTGGCAACAGACTTGGTGTTTTGAAGCACAGCACGTCCACCCCCCTTCAAACAAAACAGCTTTGACTAATTAGTTTTAACGAAATTATTGACAGCAGAAATTAAGAGAAGCTCTCAATAATTTACTCCACTTCCGAAAGAGCAGGCTTTACATACTTTGAAACATAGTATTTGTCTGTGTGCCCTTGACAAATTTCATACATAGTTTGTCTTATAGTAACTGTGAAACCACTGTTTGTATTTCCAGTGAATGAGGCTTTTAAATATGATGCTATTAATCAGTATTATTTTGACATATCTCAACTCACTGCTTTTAGCAGAATATTCAGAAGCATGTTAGGAAGAATATGGAAGTTACAAGAACAAAACCAAAGCATGCCTTTCATTGCATGCATATTGAAAGACCATGTTACTTACAGTTGGGATGCATATCTTGCTCAGGGGATTGCCATCCAGCAAGTAGGAGCCATTGAAGGTCACATATTCATCGTAATATTGAGGTGCCTGAGGAATAACACTGCACAGCAATTTACGCTTCTCTTCTATTTTCTTCCTTATGTGCAAGTATTCAAAATAGGGGTTTGCTCTCTCAGAACTGTACGGCTGAATCTCCTCAAGTTTCAAAGAATCAACAATAGCTGCCAGCGACTGCTGGGTTTTCTCCTTGGCCTGCAGCAAAGAAGGGTTCGCTTGCACAGGCTGAGGCACGCGTGACACCTTCCTTTTACGTGGATGATGTACCTGAGCATCATCATCTTCAGTTAATCTAATTCTTGCTTTCATAGATGCTGAAGATTCAGACTCTTTTTCCGATGTTTGTGTACAGCCAAGAGGATTCTGCTTGCCCTGGTTAGCAAGCAAATTTGCTCTGTTCCTCGTGATTCTTTGAGGTACTTCTTGCTGTTCCATCTTCTGATCCTCAGCAACTTCTTCTTCTACTTTAACTATTTGGCTGTATTTATGCACCTCTTCCTGTGTAACCTGTTGTGAACTATTTTCCAAATTGGATATAGAGGAATACTGTGGTGAATCATCTGCCAACACATTTTCTCTGTCTGCAGTGCAGGGACTTTTATTAACCAATTCATTTGTAATTCCCTTTGACATTCCTGCACTTAGTTCACAGAGTTCAGCATTGGCTTTACTATCAACAATATGTACAGAGACCAACTTTTCTTGTTGGTCTTTTTCATTTCTAATATCTGAAGTATTTGCTGTGTTACTATCCACTTCACCCAGGGCATTCTTACAAACAACTTTACTGAATGAGTACAAATTCACGTTTAAATGTGAACTGCTATCACTTTCAGGAGTATCCTTCTCTGATGGTACCATTGGCAAATCATTCACCTTTTCATAGCCCTGTGAAACATCTTTTGCAGAGCCCTCAGAATATACAGCCATAGGTGCATCAGTCTTCCTAATGTTTGAAGGGAAGAAAGCATTTTCCAGCTCTCTGGTACTAGTAGCATCTGTTTCCAAAGCAGAGGTTGCAGTCTGAACTAGATTTTGCTGCTGTACAAATGATGAATCTTGACTGATAATGCCTGGTAAGGAAACATTTTTTGACACAACTGGAAGTGGCTGGGTAGGTAAAGAACAAGGCGACTGTGAAGGCAAAAATGATGCAGATTCTTGAGAACTGGAACTTCGCTTAATTTCAGGGTGCTGAGGCAAAAACTCAGATACTTGTTGCTCTTTTAACGTCCTGCTCTCAGAATTATGCACTGCTATAATGCTTTTAGCATCTTGCTCTGACACACCACAACCTGAGCTGTTAAAGTCATTGTTTAATGGATTAAGTCTGTCAAAAGGCACATCCCACAGTTTGGTTTGCTGAGTCACACCACTATGACTACATGGTTCTAAATGCATGCTAGAGTCTTCTGAAGGGCTCATCTGAGCATTATCTTTAATGGTATTTGTCCCTGTTATTGCCTGCTTGTTGCTAACAGCTCTATTTGGAGATGATGTGAAGCTGGACTGCAGAACAGCCACACTGCTTTGAAAATCTCTCTCAAGTGCACTGCACAGTAGCTCTAGTTTAGGAGAAGTGCTACTGTAAGTCTGAACTGACTGCAGAGCATTCTGGTTGATTTCTTCTGATTTTCCAGGCTGTTTGCTTTGTTCAGAAACTGCAGCAGGCATGCTGCATCTTCGAACCTCTATAACAGGCCTACACTCATTTAAAACCAACTTAACATCTTCAGCAGATGCTGATCTAACATACATTTGTGGAAGTCTGTTCGTGAAAGGTGGCTTAATGCGATCTGGCAACTCAGCAAGACCATCAGCCTCTTTTTCCACAAGGGCTGGTGATTTGGCACTTGCCAAAAATGGTGACTGTGAAAAAGACATTTGGGAATCAGAACCTTCTGGCATGAAGTCCGAATCATATTCAGTTACAGGTCTTGGAGTAGTTACTGTGGTATGGCAAGAATCTTCAGAGCTTGCAACAGAAACCATGGACACTGACCTGGAGCTCAGCCCCATCTTTTCACTTTCTGATTTGGGTGATCTGTTGAAATTATCTAAAGCCAATGAAGTCTTTACAACATTGACACTTCTCGTGTCTACTGACTGAGATCTATTACTTGTAGCATCTTTCTGCTGTTTTTCTTTTATACAGACATCTGGCAACTCTGAACTTTTTGAACGAATCAGTTCTTTGCCTTTTAGTTCAGCTAATGAGTGTTTGGGTTTTTCCTTCATTTTGTTATGTTCTGAACAAGTGCGGTTTCTCAAACGTTCCTTCTCTTTCTGTTTTATTTTTTCTTTATGCTTTCTATGCCACTGCTCTATCTCCAGATCTTTAAGGCTAAGCATTCTTTCAAAACTAGTTTGCATTAAATCATCATTGACTAATCTTTTTTCTTTAGGCCGAGCATCCTTCAATGCAGGTGCTGGTTTAGGCTTAAGTTTCTCATGTTCAAGTTTTAGTTTAAGCAAACTACTTTGATGCAGTTTATCTTTATGCTTGTCCCTCTCTTTGTATCTATCTATATCTTTATCTTTTTTATCTTTCTCTCTACCATCTGGAGTTTTCAACAAATCATCTTTTGGTTTTTCCTTCAAAGATGACAGTTTGTCATGAACTGTTTTATTACTTTCAGTAATAGTGCATCTCCTTTCCTCTTGCATATGTTTTGAGCTTGCTAATGATGAGGTCTCCTTGTCTTTGGATTTGTCTTTTTTTTCTAATTCCTTTTCTCTGGTTCTATTTTTTTCTGATTTAGTATATTCAGATTCTTTTTCAGACTGTTTGACTTTTCTTTCAGTACAGTGTTTTTCTTTGCTTTCAGCCCAATGTCTCTCTTTATCAGCCTTTTCTTTATCATGCTTCTTATCAGTTTTTTCTTTATTTCTTTCCCTGTCGTCAACTTTTTTAAGAGCACCCATGCTTTTTATTTTGTCATTTTCCTTATGGCCCCTTTCTGCTTGCTGAAAACTGGACTTCTCCTTTACTTTCTCTGTATTTTCATTTACTTCTGCTTTATCTTTCTCTATTTTGTATTCATGCTTTAACTTTTTCTCTTTTTCTCCATGTTTTCTTTCTATCTTTTCAAAATCTTTTTCTTTGATTGAGAATCGCTTTTCTGTCTTCTCTTTATTTTCCTTTAAATTCTTTTCCTGCTTTTCAGCATCTGTTTCTCTTTCTACTATATGAACGCTGGCTGCCTCATCTTTAACACCAAAACAGAACAATTCAATTTCTTTATCTGCAAGCATAACTTCTTTTTCTTCTTTTGTATCTTTGATTTTTTCATCCTTGAGAAACTTCTCATTTTCCTTTTTGTTCTTTTCTTTTTCTCTCTCATCTTTAATACTTCTCTCTTTCTGCAACTGTCTCTCCTTAACTGATTTATCTTCTTTTGCCACAGTTTTTTCTAGCTTTGATTTTCTGTCTGAAGAAAGAGATTCATGTTCTGTATTTATCAAAGTGTCATCATTTTCATCACTTTTGAAAAAGTTTTCTTTCCAAAATTCTCTGTCAAACTCAATACTTCTTTGAACATCTTTAACATTATCCTTATGTTTGTGTTTCTCTCTCTCCCCATCCTGTTCCTTTTTGTGCTTTTCCTTTTCTCTTTCTTTGTGCTTTAATTTATGCTTCTTAAGTGTTTTACCTTCCTTGTCAATTTTTCTCAAAGTATATTCTGAATTCTCAAATGTTGAGCTATTATCTTCCTCTTTGATTTTAGGACTAGATTTTTCACCAAATTCCAAGTGAAAATCCTTTTGATGATGCTTGCTTTTTTCTTTGTGCTTGCAAGATTTGCCACTAGAACTTTCTACTAGATAATCAGAATCAGTGTTGTGGTCATACCGAACTAATTCGGACGGCAATGTTATTTCAGAACCTCCTGGTGATAAGCAAGTTTTGGTGTTTTCTTGCTTTAATGGTGTTGACTGCTTTTCACTTAACCCACAGGGATGCTTTGGAGATTTTCCAGCAGTGATATGAAACAGATGTAAAGAAGAATCTTCTTTTGAGGTGAAAGACTTCTTAAAGGTTTCTTCCTCTCTAGCTTTATCTAAAGGATCTAACCCAGAAGTAGCTATATTTGTTACTCTAGCATTTTCTTTTTCTTGCTTTACTTCTTGATTCTCTTTATTTTTGCTTTGATTTTTTACTTTCCTTTTAACTTTGCCCTTTTGCTTGTGCTCGTTTGCAACCATATATTCTTTCTTCACTCTGACATCAGAATTTGGTGTCTCTGAAACAGAGCAAGGAGAGACCATTTTCTTGTCCTGAATTATTTCTTCATCTGAACTTTCAGAACTTGAATACAGAACTCTAGAGGGTTTCTGCTTTTTGTTTTTCAATGATTTTGAAAAGACAACTTTTTCTTGTTTCACAAATAAGCTGGTCTTTTCAACTTCAGTTTCATCTTCTTTCCTTGGGTCTTTTCTAAGAATATGTTTGTCATCAATCATTTTTTTCATTTCATCTTCATCATCATCTTTGAACTCATACTCATCTAGTGCAGAGGGAAGTGGTGCCTTGCTAGGGACTGTTTGTTTGCTGTTGTTGGCTACAGAGTCCTTTTCTGCTTCTGAATCAACATTTCCATCTACACTGGAAGGATTTACAGATGGAGTTTCTTCAGAATCTAGAGTAAAAAAAGCAAAAATTAATAGAATACTGATGGGATACTTGTCATACCTCAGGACAAAAGAGTTCAGTTCAGCAGTCACCTCTTTACACACAAAAATAATAAAACCTATCTTAAACACAGAAAACAAAAGGTGATGAAATCAAAGTTCTCCCCTCCCTTTACAGCTCTCACTTAGGCATGTAAAAACACTAATTAACATTTATATCTAATAAAAGTAATGCAGTTTAAATTTTGAAAACCTCACATATTGCGCATAATTTCTGTATAACCTGATTCTTTCTAAAGGACAATACCCTGTGCAGACTATTGAGGAATCAGCTGCTAAACAGTAACAATATTCTATTACACATATGTAAAAATATTTGTCTTAAGATTGATGCTTTCACTAAACTGAAGTTGATTCTGTGAAGTGATGCCACAGCTGTTCCTTAGAACAGAAGGACCACGCACTGTATTTTAGGTTATTCTAATGCCAAAAAAGTTGACACTACATCAGAACATAGAGCAATAGGACTTTTTTCCCTTGAAGTATGCTGCATCTTTGACTAGAAAACATTCCTGGGGGCTGTGTTTTAAGTATTTGTCTGGGAAAGAGAAACCAGCTTTTACAATCATGTGACACGATGCTGCTCTTTGTCTGCTTTTCACAGATCACAGAATGGCTGTGGTCGGAGATCATCTCATTCAACCCACCCTGCTCATGCAGAGACACCCAGAGCCAGCTGCCCAGGACCATGCCCAGAAAGCTTGTGAATTATCTCCAAGGACGGAGACTCCATAGCCTCCCTGGACAAGCTGTGCCACTGCTTGGTCATCCTCACAGTAAAAAAAAATGTTTCCTGCTGTTCAGATGGAACTTCCTGTGTTTCACTATCTGTCTATTGCCTCTGGTCCTGTCACTGTGCACAAGTGACAAGAGCCCAGCTCTGTCCTCTTTGCAACCTCCCCTCAGGTATTTTTATGCATCAAGATTCCCTGAGCCTTTCCTTTCTTTTTCATCTTCCTGGCCCTTCTCTGGACTCTCTCCATGGTGTCAATGTCTCTCCTGTACTGGAGAGCCCAGAGCTGCACCCAGCACTCCAGCTGTGGCCTCACCAGTGCTCAGCAGAGGGGGAGGAACACCTCCCTCAACCTGCTGGCAACATTCCTCCTAATGCAGCCTGGGACATCACTGGCCTTCTTTGCAGCAAGGGCACTTTGCTGGCTCACGGTTAAGCTGGTCAAGCTCATGGTTCAGCATGAGCCAGGGCCTTTTCCATAAAGCTGCTTTCCCAGCTGGTCAGACCTGCACTGCTGCTTGGATAGTTGTTTCTCCCCAGCTGCAGGACTTTGTACTTCCCCTTGATGAACTACATGAGATCCCCATGAGCCCATTTCTCCAACACATTAAGGTTCCTCTGGATGGCAGCACAACTCTCTCATGCACCACTCACTCCTCCTCAGAAGCCCCAGTTCTGTGTCATTAGGAAACTTCCTGATGGAACACTCTATCCCAACCATTAATGAAGGTGTTAAACAGGAGTGGAAACAGTATTAATCCAAGGTACAGAGGCAGTTACTGGCCTCCAAATAAACTTTGTGCCACTAATCACCACCATTCCAGCCTAGATGTTCAGCCAGTTTTCAATCCACCTCACTTCTTTTATCTAAAAGATTATGAATTGTTGAATATTCTGTGAAAACCAAATGAAAAGTTCCTGTCTGACACTCAAGTAAGTTACTCATGGTCAAGAATCTTTTGCTTCTGAGGAACAATTCTTTCTGTGCTCCAAGAAATTAAATACTCCTCAATCTGCAGAAACACAAGAAGGACCAAGAATTACTGCCTCCACTTCTGCAACTTACTTACCAGATGACCCACAGAAACCAGTGGCTCCCTGAGTAACTAAGTTGCACCCACCTGAAACACTGACTCCTGATACATCCTCTAAAGGTGGGAAGTAAGTAACTTTGGGGATAATTTTTCACCATTAAACAAACCATCTCAGAAACACACTCCATCATAAAAAATATGGTACTTTCCTCTATATCTTTCTCTGGTAAAATCATCATTCTGATATAGAGCTAATGTGCAAAGTGGGAATGGCTTATTAAAGACAAAGAGAAAAGTAAAAAAAAATAAAAAATCCAGAATATGCATTTCAGATAATTCAGTTGAAAAATTTAACGAACTACCTCTAGAAATATAAGTGAAAGACAACCATAGCAATATGAATTGTTACCTGCAGCAAGCTTTAATAGCTAACACTATACAAAAGATTAAGGCCACTTAACCTTAGGTGAAATGATGCATTAACTATGCAATTAAATAGCTACTTTTACCTGAGCAACTGTCTTCATCATCAGAGATGGGCACCTCTCTTTTCAACAGCATTTCCAATTCTTCAGTTTCAGCAACATCAACAGGTCTTTCCCCATGCTTATTAGCTTGAAATGGATTTCCACCATGTCGAAGTAACAACTTTACAATCTGCAGCATTAAATAAATTAACTTTGAGGTTATCCATAACATGTTACTTGACCAGCAAAACATCCATCATTGCACACAAAATATGAGTAACACGATATGCAATCCTAAGTCCTATCTACGATATTGAGACTGGGAAGCAAGACTTCAGCAACTAAAATGCAAAGTCCAGGTAGTGCATACTGTCTGCTCTATAAAGGAGGTGAAGGGGAAGACTAGAGACAGCTGCTCTCTGTCCCACAGCATCATTATAAAAGAAAGACAGGGGCCTTTGTTCTTGCTGTTCTAGCATTTCTTCACACAATTTATCTGGTTCCCCACCTACGAGGCTCTTTACTACTCTGCACTTGATTCATTCTCTTGCTCCAAATTTTATTTCACTTAAATCAGGAACAGATAGCTTTCAGAAGTCACAGTACTATTGGTTTCTCCAGCAGTTCCAAAAAGCCCTTAGAGATCTTACTGGAGGAACAAAGCACCTCCACCTGCAACTGCGTGCAATAAATCAAAATCATCAACTTCTCCACCATTAAGGGCAACATTTTGTTAATGTTACAGTGATATCAAGGCCACTGCATTTTCAGCATAGTGTCTAGTATTAATTATTTTTTTTCCCTATGTATAAAGAATGGCGAAATTCAGCAGACAGTGATACCTTAATAGGAAGCTTGAGAATTATTCTGGTACATAATGTCAGATGGCCACAGGTACCTGTACTGATACCAGATAAGCAAGAGGTCCCATTCTCCAAGACTCTACTACAACTGTCTACTACAACTTGGGTCTAAAGACCCAGTATCTTCATTTACATACCTATAAAAAGCAATTACTAAATAGCTAATAAAAAGAATCCCAACATATTATCAAAATTAATTTCTCTAGCTTTTCCAGAAAAACCTTTTAAAATTAACATCTTGTTTGCAAGGTGTACTTGATTTAAGGATGTATTCTATTCTTTTGCTTCCAACAACAGATCACATACACAGTAATTAAATAAAAGAGATATAAAGGGAAAGCAGAGTCATTTTTGATCTTATTTGCAGAAATCAATAACAAATTTGAAAGTTAATGTAAAGCACCTACAGAGCTCAATTTATCTTCTCCACTAAATGCTGATTGGTAAATTAAAAAAATAAGAAGAATATATATACTTCAATTCTCTATTTCAATGCCATTAAAATATGTTAAAAGAAATATATGATATATACCTTTAAATATTTATAAACATGTATGTATAATATACATGAATCCACAGTATACTTTTAGGAGACAGTTTTCTTTTGAGAAGTCGATACAGTAAAAGTTTCTCAAAAAAAGTCAGTTAAGTGCTTATTTACTAAGAAAGTAAAGATAAAACTTATAAATATTTAAGAAACAGATACTGGTAGAATATATCTGGCAATAGAAGTCAGATGAAACAATCAGAACAAGTTTAAGATGCTCCCAAAACAGCAGAAGCAGAACTACAAGACTGCAATGAGGACAGTTAGGATCTGTTCTGAAGCTTCAGCATTTCAAACCATGTTTTTATCCCCCTCCCACTCTCCCAGAAGACTCACATTTCTATGTCCACTGCTAGCAGAATCATGAAGAGGGGTATCATCATCCAAGCCCTGTGTGTTCACATCTGCTCCCGCTGCTATCAGAACTTTAGCAACATCGTAGTAACCAACATTACAAGCTTCATGCAGTGGTGTCCAACCTAGAGTGAAGAGTGGCAGGTTTATCAGAGATTTGACTTTTCATTCCTGAAAAATGATAGATCTCTACTGCCTCTGAACATTTCAAAACAGACTCACACACAGTCTTTGGCAGAACAGCAACGCCATCCCTCTGATGAACAACACATGCTTTATCAACTTCAAACCTCACATCAAATTTCAAGATTTTCTGAGATTAAACTGAATGCTGGAATCACAAATCAAATAGTAGAAGACAAAATCTGGCACAAAATCCCCAGGCTAAACATGTTAGAGATTCTTTGATTAGTAAACATTTGAACTCTGATAGGTGTATATATAAATAATGTTAAAATAAATGGAAACCGTTTGAAAGCCACACTATTGGAAACAGTAAGTGTAGCAAACTGCCATAACCAGTGCTCCTTTAGAGTTACTGAACATGTACAGCATCACATAACCATTAACAACATTAGCAGCTAATAAATAATGGCAGAGAACTTACTCTGGTATTTCCCAGAACACTAGTCATTGTTTGCAATTTTGATTTCCATAAGTTCAGTGTTCATTTTCTGTAGCAGAGCGTCAACTGAAGATGACAGCTCACGCATGCTATATTCCTTACCTCAATTTCCTCTTCACAGCTTGATGACTTCTGCTTCACAGCTGACCTGAACTGCTATTGATACCTTCTCAAAGCCCAGTTCAGGGGAGGCATTCAACTTTTGTTTCCAACATAACCAGTAAAAGAGTTTAATCACATGAGCTTTGTATCTAATCAGTAGCAGTCTTGTACATCCATGAAGTGGAGATACAAGAAACCCCTAACTTATCTAATCCCTCAGTAATGGGATTTCTCACCTTCAGCCTTCACTCAACTTCCAAGCTGCCACTCATTAATATTTTAAAAACAGCTAAAAAAAAAAAGGAAAAACCAAAAAAAAAAAAAAGGGAAGAAAATAAAAAAGTTTCTAAGTCATTCTAAAGCAAAAAACTTCTTTCTGTTCTTCATACACTAAATTTCCTTTTCAATCATCACTTGGGTTACTCACTTCCAGCTCTGTCTGGCTACCACCTCTATCTTTCCATTTTCTTGTCATTTGCCCTTTCACACTCACCCAACATGATAACACTCTTCTGCTCTCAGCTCTCTGATCCCTGTTTTTTATTCTCTGTATTAATTATCTTCATAATTCATTTTTCTCCATGTTGTACTGCTTTGCTTTTCCATCCTTTCACAATGTCCAGCCTGCCAACTCTAGTGCTGGCTTGCTGTCAGTATCTGTTTCCTTTACTCTTGTTCTCACACGGCAGTATCATTCTGGCAGATATCCCATGAGCAGGGCTACTTCCTCCATTACTAATTCATTTTCTGCTCCTTTAGTTCTGCCAAATCCTTAGCTAAAAAACCTCTAATTCTCTAAACTACACTGCATACTAAATTCCTACTTTTCTCCACTCATGACTCACTGCTTCAATCCTCCCTCTCTGCACAGTATTTTGAAGTTCAGCCAACTCTGCTTTTCACTTTGGATCAACAATAAAAAAAATATCTCACTTAATCCCAAACAACTCTAGAATTTTGAACAAATTCTCCAACAACTTGCATCCAACTGATTGCCAGAACCAGTTCTCAGCCATTGTCCTTTTCCTTTCATCTGCCTTTAAATTCAGTATCTGCCCTAGGTCAGACTGGGATGAAGCTGTGAAGTTAACTTCCTTCAGAGCAACCCATACAGTAATGTGCATTGCATTTGGGGGCTACACCAGTACTCACAGCATACTAGTGGTTTTGGCTACTGCTGAACAAGGCTTGTTAAGTGTCATGGTTTTCTCTCTCCCTCTTCCTGCACGAGAGTTTGGGAGGGGACATAGCCAGGACAGCTACCCAAATATATAATCCATACCACAGGATGTCATGCAATAGAAGTTCACTAAAAGGAGAGGGAAGGAGGGTAGTTTGTACATAATGGCATTTGTCTTTCCAAGCATCTATTACACCTGCTGAGGTGTTGCTTCCTGGGAAGGGACTGAACATTTGCCTGATGATGGGAAGTAGTGAATAAATTCCTCTTCTTCCTTTGCTTGCACATGCAGCTTTTGCAATTCTTATTAAATGGTCTTCAACATGACCCACTTTTTCTATCTTATTTTCTCCCCACACTTTGTTGAGGAAGGGAAGTGAGAGAGCAGCTGGGTGGGTGTCTGGCAGCCTGCCAAGGTCAACCCACTACATCTCTTCAAGTGTTTCTATTATTCTCACAGTGATGTCTATGGGCCTGTCTTCCCCTGAACCTCCCCCTCCTTTTCTAAAATTGCTCTTGTCAACAAGTTCTTCTCATCTCCCCTCTCAACTTCTTTGAAGATCTCAGTGTTCTACTTCTGCTTGTCTTCTCTTCCTCTACATACCAATCCTCGGCAGCTTCATGTTCAAATACAAATTCAGCCCCTCTTCAAACCAAGAAATTACCAATCTGTTTCTTACCTAAAGATTTCAGTTAATCTCATTAATCACTTGAAGCCAAGTATGAGCTGACTAATTGTGTTATATGGTTCTTAGCTTCTCCCACAGGGGCCTGCTACCTCAACTCCTCTCAACCATTCCCACTGAGAACATAATCCAGACCCATAAACCTAAAAAATATTGTATATGTTACAACATAACAAAGCTCATCAACCATTATGTAAATCCCAGCAAATAGTGACACATCAAAGCTATCATTAATCCAGCAGGACTAGATGAGAACTGCTACCATGCCATTCTCATCTGCCTTGGTGTGTATCAGCTGTCCCAGTGAAGACAGTGCACATCACAGCACCACCACCTCCACCATTACTGACTTTGCATCTCCTCACACAGCCCACAGTCTCACCATTTAACTCTGCCCAGCACAATCCTACCAAGTTCAGCAAGAACACAGAAATCTGTGTGCACAGATTTCTGCCAATACCCACTGCCCCGTGGCCCTGAACACAATGGAAACCCCTCAGTATTAAAACACTGCTCTAATCACTGTACTAGTGTACTACTTTGTTCTAGTGTCCCAGTACTGCCACTGCCACTGGAAATGAAAACCACAATTTTGGGAATTTCTATGAAGTTATACTTTTTCATTTGTATAAAACATGAACTGAAAGGAAACCTCTGTTAACAACTTCAGTGTTACCTTTAATTGAAACAGTTAAAAGTACTCAACTTACCTGCAAAATCTTTTACATTTACATTTGCACCTAATCTGATTAGCTCCTTGACCTGTTTAACATCCCCTCGAATTGCTGCCATATGTAGAGGAGTTTCCCCTCTTTCGTTTCTCTTGTTAACTTTATCTTTTTGTCTTGAAGAAGAGGTTGGAGTTTTCTTTTGTGTTGGTGTTGTTTGTAAGGAATGATTTAAGGTGGAATCTACAAAACAAGTTTTTAAATGGTCATTATTAAGTTAATTGAAGTGAGGTGAAATAAAAAAATTGTAAACACTTGCCTTCAAAGATTATAATGACCAGTGAATAATTATATTTAAATAAAAGACATATCACCCTTCAGAGGTGTCAGCACAATGCTGATTTCCAATATGAAAAAGGGCATTTTGCAAAATCTTACTATTTTAAGCAAGTTTCTAGGAGAGATGAAGTCTATCCTAACTACAAGGTTCACATACTCTGGCATAAATTCTCCTGAATCAAGACAAGGTGAGATAACCCAGATCAGTATCTATGCTGCTTCCCCTTCCTCTAGTAAAATTCCACTAAATTTTTCTGTAGTGGGATGCCATTTTAAAGAATTACAGTCTGTGTATTTGTACTACATACAAATCCTCAGCTGTAGCAACACAGCTGGGTGGACTGGATAGATCCTTAAGGAAACCCAGTCATTTGCTTTTAAATAGCAATTTCGTAAAAAATTTACACCCGTAGAACATATACATACGTAAAGATTTTTTTAAAATGCAGCTGGACCAAGGACAGTTTGAAATGGTTTAAGAACTAAATGAATTAAGAACAAAATGTCTTCCCTCTCCCATTAAATCAGAAGGAAATTGTCCCATTTCCTCCTAAATTAAAATCCTGCTCCAAAGTGAGAAAATGAGATAATAGTTAAGCTTCAATAAAAGTCAAAAAAAGAAAGTATTTCAGGCTTTAAACAATCCATACCAAAAAGTGTCTAAGAGGCAAAAATAAACAAAGGAAGAAATCAAATTTTCAGTTTTTACAGCTATCACAGTGCAAAACTTTTCACATGAATTTAGAAGATCAAGAATTTTTCATCAGATTAATAATCCATGTGAAATAAATTTTAACATAAGTATGAATGATTTAAAATACGTGAAAAAAAGCAAAGATTTGTGAAAAACATCAGTGATCTGAATATTCTGACTAGGACAGAATTAAACAGGCAGGAGAAAGAAAACTGTTAACTCCGTAAGATCACCTGGACTGTTGTCTCTTGCTGTCATCTGCATGAGAAGTGCCATCTGTTTGCGCTCTGACAGAGGGTAACCAAAAAGAATGCTAACAGGTGCTGATTTCTTATTCCCAGCATCCTTCTTCATTTTCTTTTTCTCCGGACCTTCCTTCTCTAGAAACAGGAACATTTCAAGACTCAAACTGCAGTTCCATCAGTATATTTTTCTAAAAATAAAACCATCCTCTTAAGGCCTGTAAACTCGTGATTGTTGACATGTGATGAAAAACAGAAATTACACCTCTAACTTACTGCATTTGCATTAGTGTTGGTTACCAGTTCTAATCATATTGGGATAATAAACTACTGAGATAAAGCACTTAAAGCTATAAACAGGATTACCAAAAAATTCTTAACAGATGAAAAACCTGTTTCATAGGAGCAATGCTATGTATGTCACAACTTCAATTCTCAGAGATTAAAGTCAGGAATTTAAAATTTCTGTAAAACCAGTTGGTCAGCTTTGAACATTGAATACAGATCTGAGATTACACTCTATTCTACTTCTCTCAAGACACCGTGTTAAACATTAGGAAAAAAGTAGTTAATATTGGTATCTGTAAAGTAATTGGTTAAAAGATTGTTTCTCTCAAACTCATCCTGGTATTTTGAGCAATTTGTTCTCCAGAATTCATATCCTTCAAAAACATACAGCTATTGTATATACATAACTTATTTCCTTTTATCAATATTTACGGAAACTGTTTAATATTTCATCTCCAAGTTTTAAACCAGGAGCTAAAATTACACATCTGAGTAAACACATCAAAAATAAAACAAAACTAAACTCCCACCAAAACCAAAAAACCCTGTCATCTACAAAAGTAGAAAACCTTAAAACAGAAGACTCCACTGAGAAAAATTTCACTGAACTTCTGCAGAGATAAAAATTAGAATCTTAAGTCCCTTTGAGGTTCCTAGCTATCTTTTCACTTTATACGGTTCTGCCTCCTTTCTTGTTCCATTCTTTTCCTCTCAATGGATTTTCTGCCTTCCTAGCCTTCTCTAAATCTCACTTTCTAGGCCTGATTACAGACACAATCCCTAGTAATTCAGTGCTTTTGAGGCACAGGAAGGCACATCTTCAGTTCTTATCTTGAATTCCACACTGACCCATAAGAAACACATGATTTTATGGGCTAAACAATTGCCAGCAAGAGTATTTAAGACTATAAATGGAAAGCTACAGACCCATGCACATATTTTAAAAACTTCTATAAATGTAGCCATCACGTTTAAAAAGTAAACAATCCCTTTTACAGAATCAAATTATTTTTTCCTAAACTGCAGGCAACTCACAGTCTTGACAATCTAAAAAATTAATTTAATATTCAAATCAACAATATTTGTGTTGTGCCCGATTGGTAAAAACATCTGCATAGGAAAATAATAAAAAAAAACCTTTACAATAAAATTGTGCTTTAAACTTTTCACTGCAAGCATGCTGTTCTTTCTGCAAAGATAAAATACAGCACACTCTTTACTGACTAATTTAGTACTTCCATCGAAATAACACATTTAAGATTGACCAGCACAATCAGATATTTTTTAGCATATGCTATGGAATACTCATGATTCTTTCCTTGAAAAACACATTTATTTTCATTCTGAATTATTCCCTACTATTTTATAGCTATTTTCAGCTTGAGAAAATAATGTATCAAAATATATGAAATAAAGTTTTTTATTATCTAGGTTTCACTCATATATATCGGGATTGCCTGAGTTTTTTGGGTTTTACTTATGTTTTTAAATTAACATAACTTATTCCTGCCTCATGTTCAGTGATCCATTTCAGTGGTAAATTATTCTTCTATTACATTTTATTAACACAGTGTTTGCAAAGTGTTCCTAGATCTTACAAATTAAAGCACCAAATAAGAACATAAGTGTTCTCACTGAGTTATACTGTAATTACTCATTTACTGCTCAAAAGGAGACACAATTTTATTAAAATGGATATTGGACTTCATATATGCTGTCAGTAAATCTAAACAGTTCAATTAATAAAAATCAACATGTCTCAAGATTATAGCAGGTGCACCTGATAATCCCCCCCGAGATCTCATGGACATGACCTGGTTTTGACAAGAGGGGTGGAAGAAAGCAAAAAAAACCAAAAAACAAAAACAAAACAGAACAAAACTAACAAAAACCCCCCAAACAAACAGAAACCCCAAAACTCAAACCAAACCAAAAAACAACAACAAGAAAAAAAGCCAGGAGAGAATGAGCAGGGCATATAAAACAGAAAGTTTTATACATCAAAAAATACACCAACGTTCCAAGAATACTATCACATAGTACACTACACTTTAACAAGAGGAGAGCAACTTAACATTCAGGAGCTTAAACTTACTAGCTATTCTTATCTTACAGTAACAGAAAATTTCACCACTGTGAACTTGATATTTCTATAATTCGAACAGTAACGGCTTCCCTAATAAAGGAACAGAATCAGTTTAAGATACTAAGTTTAGGTAGAATTTAATGTATAAATTGTCTATGAAACTCAGTTAGTTTGGGGTTTTTTTCCAATTTTTATACTTTGTTTTTAGGTCCTATGGAATACAAGTATCTTCTTTCACATTCACATTCTCATCACTTTCTGCTGTTCTTCAGCAGTTAGAAATTAACATAATGGTTAGAAATAGAACATAAGAGATTTTTTCACTTTTTATTAAAAAAATAAAAACCAGAACTCTTCAAGTGGCTTCATGTTCAACCACCTTTATTAAACAAACTTCATAATACACAGCTAAATCCCCCTGGACTATATCTCTTTAGTATTTCCCTTGGCAACACAAGCTTTTCACTGAACACTTAAATTATTTTGAAATACTCAAGTTATGTCAAACAGGAATTCAGGAGTATCTGAGCACTTATTCGTAAAAGGGCTCAATGGAATCCACCCACAATACTTAAAATGCTCTGGCCCAAGGAACATCAGAGACATTGGTGATTGTTTTAGGATAATTTATGCATGACACATTTTTGGTTGCCTTGGGACAAAATCTGTCTGGTTTTTTGTTTGCTTGCTTTTTTCCCCCAGTCGGATAAATTACAAATACCCACTCAAGTAGTTTTTAATGTTTTGGAAAATTAAATTAATAAGTAATGTAATACATGGATTTCTCGAAACAGATCATGCCAAACTAACATTTGGTATTTCATTTGGTAAAATAATCACCTCAGTGGATAAAGAAAATTAAGCAAAAAACCCCCAAAAACCTCAAATTCAAACTTCTGGGCTCGCTCATCATACTCTGTTTTTATATAAAAGACTCTCAGTTTAGTCTAAATCATAAAAAATAACAGGATCAAAAAATAGGACCATGAAAAATTAAAATATTAAATGCTTGAAATAAATTTTATGAAGTCATATGATTGAATGATACACAACCAAAGAAAAATACATTCATTGCTAGGTCAAGACCTAGATACAGATGATGAGGTTCAGAGATAGAGTTTATGGAGCTCTGTGTGATCATTGCAACCTCACTGAAGTTATTTCCAAGAGAAACACATGATGACTGGCTGTGTTTTCTACCCTCAGGGAAAGAGAAAGCTTAGAATGTGATGCGGAGACCCCATAGTGCATTTAACAATGTAGAGATTTCAAGATACTATTGTGATACCTAATTAATCAAGTTCATGACATATTTATTTACTGAAACCAACACACAAAACCACCTCAAGTTTCCTGTCTGTAGCCCAAACAACAGTTAAACCTGTTATAGCTGAACAATAAGCCCATACCCAGCAAGCAGTGTGTGAACAACACCTCCACTAACCTCTGTAACTACAGAGAGCATGAGCACAGGAATTGTGTTACTGTGATATACCCATGCAACATCAAGAAATCAGTTGTTTTGCTCTTCTGGATGTCAACTAAGTGCTAAAAGAAATAAGACTGTGCCAGGTTTGGACTGCTTTAAAGACTGAAATTGAAGAGGTCAGAAAACAAAACCAAGATTCTGCTATAAACAGTAAATCTGGAGAACATAATTTCCAAGAAAGATCAACAAATTGCTGCATTCAGTGTAACTGTAACTCGTTGCTCTTGAATAATCAACTCTTTAATAAGATTCTCTTTACAATGGAAAGATTTTTAGGATCTGCAGTTATGTTTAATAATTATGAAAAATTCAAATTTCTCTCTTCAGACTAGTAAGGTAGAGAAAGCAAACAAATCTGACCTCTGCAAAATCAACACTTGTCTATTGTTCTTATTCCAATAACCATAGCAGAGGCTACTTAAAACTAACCAGATTACATAAATAAGAAAATGTAAGTAATTTTGTTAAGTAGTCTAAGTAACTGATGGCCTTTCAATCAAATTATGGTTTTGGATTGGGAGACTTAAAATCAGAGAATTTATTTTAAAATATATGAAAAAGAATTCTGCTTTGATCATCCGATCCAGCAGTTTCAATCAAAGCTTGCATATAGACTCCTACATAATATTTACTTATAAACAGGCTAAAGCTATACTGCAGTATAAATAAATATGCCTGCAGGATGTATACATCTATTTTGTGGTTGCTCTGACCAAGAATGGGGATGTCACAACAAAGCCTTCAGTTTCGGGAAGCCACCACAGCCAGGGGAGTGTCACAGCCCTGTACAACAGAAGAAACACAACAGGATGCTGCTGACAAAGACAGGGACAGAGTGTCCTTCCAGGTGTGTCCTGTTCCCAGGGGCCTCTTCAGAGGGCCACAGCTCTCCTGGGACTGACATTGTCTTTCAGATCTGCGCAGACTTGGCAGCTCCTGCAGCCTTCTCAATGGCACTGCAGGACCACCTTTACGCAACTGGCTGCACTCCTCGTGGGTATTAAATTGTTAAGACTCAATTTTAAAATACTGAATATAAATTTATTGCAGCATTTTCTTAAGAAAAATAAAAAAAAAAATTAGATAAAGAGGTGGGCTATAATTGTTCTAGATGTTACAGTACTCTACAAATGCTGTTTGGTTGCAGTCTTACCAAAACTGACTGGGTGTAAAATGTACTTTGTTTATAGTGTTGCAGAAATCAAAAAATCCCCTAAACATTTCTGTGTTATGTCAACATTCATTCTGGCTGTCCATGTTCATTACCGCTTGCAAAATTCTGACAATACCTGAAACAAACAAACAAAAAGAACCCCAAAAAACCCAACCAAACCAAAATAAAGCCCACCAGAAAACGGAACAAAGGAGGAATTTTTACAAAAATCAGTAAAAAAAGAAAAAAAATTAGTTTATGGAAGACCCTGGAGCTAGAACCAAGAAAGTTTTAATGATGTAAAGCTCTAAAAATTAGGTATCCCCATTCTTTTACTCATTTACATGCCTAAACAGGATGAAATCCAATTATCTTGGAGTTTCTACAATCAGCTAGTAGTCTTATATTGTATCTTGGGGACAAATAATTTATTAAACTATTAAAAATTTTGAAGTACTTCTAGCTACTTTTACATGTAGGGATTTTTAAATTCAGCCATTTTTAAAGACCTTGAAACTGATAGGAAGCTTTTCTTTTTTCCCCCTCTGTGTCTGGTTACATTCTCATTTCCAAAACTTTCTTCCTTCTCAACATTTGCCATTCTCTGTCCATAGCTATCAGGGAGACATTCTGTCAGAGGTAACAGTTTAGCTCAGTGAGAGCAAAGCTTTTCCATGTATAATGCCACATTTGTGCCAGAAGCAGCATTGCATTTCATCATCACTCATGTCAGTCCTAATCCATGTCAGTGACAAACTTGGCACCAGTGTGTCTAATTCCCAGTAGTCTAATCTAATTGGTTAGGCACAGAATCTACATTACAGGAATATTTTTTTTCATCCTAGCAATACTCCTGTTCTGAAGTTTCTAGAAGGTTATGTACCAAGTTTCCCACCTGCAAAAGGGCAGTTGCTCTAAGCTCCCTCCCTTAGCAGAAATTAAATGTTCATCAAGCTCTGATGCTTGCCAGCACAGTTAAGAGCTGTGAGCCTTCTACTTTTATGTCAAATATACCTTGCCCCCACTTGAACTGTCTATTTCACCTCCCTGCTACAACTTCTGACAAAAAAATGTTGTAGTGTGAGCATTGTGTTTTTGTGCATGTCTAAGTGTCTGAAGTAATCAATCTTGTTTGTGGCAACTGTAACAATAGATGCTATAGCAAAAAACACACAAAAAGTTCTGATACTTTACAAGATGCTTGGGATAATGACGTATTTAAAGCTGATGGGGGTGGGGAGACATGACAAAAGATTTTCAGAGAAAACTTTCAATAAATATTTAATATGACATCTAAATACATTTACTTCCATTCCAAAAAAATAGTTATGGTCTAATATCAAGCAAAAAATTTAATAAATCAGGTGCTGGGAGCATACTTCTAATTTAGACATGGTCTTTTCAGAATCAAATGGCATTGTGAATACTGCAAGAATGCTGTAAAACCACTGGGAACAGAACTAAAGCCAAAAGCATTGTTTTGTAATGTGACTATTTCAACTATGGATTTCATACTGAAGTCTCTTTACAGTAATAAAAATATGTATGTATTATCAAGGAGTCAAATCTGCATGAAATCAATCCTGAACAAAAATTAAACTCACATTAGGTATACGCTTCTACTTTACATTTAAATCTACGCATATTAAGGGAACCAACTGGAAATATTCCAGGGTCATGGAAATATTCAAATGTACAATAAGCAATGTATAAAAAACTGTAGCACTGAGCCTTTGAGAAATTTAGGGAATTTCAATGCATTCTGCTGGCCATGGATACTGTTTGGTTATCAACTGAACTACTATTGCACAATGACACAGAAAATAAATTACCTAAACCCAGAGAAAATTGTACCTGTTGGAATGTATCCAGCTTCCTTCATCTTGGTTTGAAAAGAACTGTGTTAAGAATGGCAGTTTGAAGCCTTGAAATCAGTTCCAATATAAATAAGAATCTGGGAAGAACTACTTAGCCTGTGCAGAGAAGGTACAGATCACAGGAACTTGAACTGAAAGGAAAATGTGCTCTCCATGACTAATTTAGTTAGCCCTGTCACCTTAGCAACCCTTTCTGTGAAGGACAGTCCATCTACGAATCTATCCAATGCTCCTCCCCAAACAAGGCTATGAAAGACTGACAGCTGTGTCTCAAATCAAGACATTCACATGGTTTTTCATCTGTTTAAACAAATGGACCTCTAGGAATGACAATATGAAGAAAGATTTGTTACTGAAACAGAAGGAAAGAATGAGGTTAGGAAACAACTGGAGAATATAGATCAACTATGGTGGCATGCTGGCCATTGCTAATGACAGGATGAAAGCCTATCAGACTGAGATGCAACAATCAGAAGGAAGCAAGCATATTTTATACTTAGTATTCTTTTTAAGGAGAAAAAAGAAACAATGTAAAAACATACAGTTAATTAAGTCAGGATGTATTTTATCAACAAATAATTAGGTAAGGAAATAAAAAGGTTCTACCTGTGTCTGAATTGCGATCTTCATTTCTGGATGGACTAATAGTAAAAGGAAGTTTACGTTTCATGGAAGACTTTTCTTTCATCTCCTTCCCCACATCACTCCTATCCACTTTTGGAGTTTTGCTGTAGGATGCAATCTTGTCCTTGCTCTAATATAAATAAAAAGTATACTAAGTAATTTTTGCATAAAGCAGGATAGTCTTATAATGTATACAAACTGAAAAGACTGATATGTGAGAATGCACGTGCTTGTGTATAAGTACGTGTATTGCAAAATTTTGTCAGTAAACCAAATAATCAATTGTCATTTCTTTTTTAAATAACTAACTTCTATGTTATTTCTACTTTCAGATACATCACTGTAGAAATGCTGTTCACTATTAGAGGCTTAATTAATCAGCAAGGGAACAACATAAACTGAACAAGAATTTGCCAAGTCTTGATGACCACCCCAATTTCCTTTCCTGACCATAACAATCCCATTAAAAGCCCACACTGCAATTCAGGCTGTGAATTGTAAACCCCCAAAAGCCCTTCTAGTTACCCTCCCCTGCTTCCACTCACACCCTGTAGTCCATCAATAGAGAATTCCCTTTCTATTTCAACAATAACAGTGTAATGTTTCATTTGAGAAAAATCTATGAAGAAATGTTTTAAACTGATACCAAATTTAGATGAAAAAAAGGTACAAGCTACTTGGATTCTTGAGTTGCATAAATCTATAGATTTTGGCTTATAACCCATACTTGAAGTAAACAGAGAAAAATCCAAACAGGCTCACAATTAACTTATACTTGATTACTTCACTAATATAGGAGGAAAGAATGCAAAAGATACTAGGTTACTGTAAAGGCTGCTTGACAGAACCCTCTGAAAACCCATCATCTTAGCGACCAATAGAGTTGCAATGCAGAGACATGTTTTCTGTACAATACATGCTGCAGAAACAATTCTCCTCTCTATCAGCTTCACAACTCCAGAGTTTTATATCATTCTTAACACATGATCAGATGAAGTTACTAATAGATTAACTTCCTAAAGGCAGAAGAACATACACTGCCTTGCCAATCACTGAAAACCAAAAGGTTGGTCCTTGGTAATTCTGAAGATATATTCAGATTAGAGGAAAGCTAAAAAATAACTTAAAGTAGAGTTACAGTTCTCAAAGGCACCTTTTAAATTTTTTTTCCGAAAAACCAAACACAGGTAGGAAGATATCATCTGACATGCTGAGTTTAAAATGTTGCCATAAATTAGGCAGAAGTGATTAGAAAAAGAACCTGTAAAAAAACCCTATAACCTTCAGAAGACAAATATCTGTACAAGGGAAATTACAAAGAAGGCATTAGTCTGTACGAACAGAATTCCTGAGTAAAGTTTGCTGCCCTCAGAGAACACCTATCTTCTTCATTCCAAATTTTTTAGAATAAAACCCACACACCAAAACCAAAGCCAACTCTCCTTCAAAACCCCAAAGGAAACAACACCCTCCTCCTTTTCTTTTTTTTACATGCTAGAACAAAAAAATCTAAAAACCCAAACCCCTAAGACTCCCTTGGGCCCTTGGAACATACAATGCCTGAGGTATTAGTTATGAAAGAAGTTAATCCATCTAACGCAAGTCATAATTTCCAAAAGCATCTCTAAGCTGGCAAGAGCAGATCCAAACTCCATTAAGCCTCTCCCCATCTTTTCCACCACACACACAAGTCTCTCACTTGAGCCCAACCTCATCAATAGATTTCTCATCCCTTGTTTCAAACAAACCAATTATTTCTACTATGTATGTGAATTTCCCACAATATGATGGAAGTGGCATAATTTTTTTTTTTTTGCTAGAATATTATTTTATGCTAGGTACTATGCAATAGAAGGGATGAACTAAAAAACTAATTTAGAATTTAAAATAATTTAGAATTCCTAAGCAGAAAACATTGGTTTCAGCTTGTTTAGTAGAAAAAAAAACAAACAAAAAACCACAACTTTTTGCAGTTGGTAATCTTCAAAAATAATTCCTTTTTTGGGGGCAATCCTCAGTAAAATACATCAGTAGGTGCTCACAAAGAGTCACATGCTGCTTAAGTAATTTGACAGCTTCACATTTATTCTTAAATTACCTATATGTATTATGTTAAATATGACTGATGCACTAGTGTTTGAATAATGACTGAAAATTAATTTTGTGATAATCTAATTAGGATTAGAGACACTTCAAAATGCATACTTTCAGATAAATAAGAACACATAGAAAATTTAAAAAAAAAGGCTATGCATAGAATACACAGAAACTGAAGAAAAAGAGACTATTTTGTTCCTTAGCTACCATGGAAATAAGTGTTCAGCATTCAGTGGTGGACTTTCCAATCCAAAAGATGCAATGAACAGGGTGTTTGAGAAGTCTGTACAAAGTTGATCCTATTTATTACTTTTGGTGACAATGCTGAAATAGTGATACAATCAGATATGCAGACATCATCACAACTGAAAGAGAGGAAGAAGCAAAGAGCCCTGGCAAGGCAAATGTAAAATGACTGGCTGATTTGAAAAACAGTCTTAAATAAAAAACAAAATAGGAAAAGCCAGGATAAAACCAAGGTCCTACAAACTGATGCAAATAATTAACTGTACTGCTGTGTTAGAAGATAGAAAACTCTTAATGGCATCCTGGATTCAACTTCAAGTAAAGGAAGTAGAGGAAGTAGAAGTAGGAAGAGGAAGTGGACACCCTGCAGGTTAGACCAGAATTTCCATTCTCAAGAGGGAGCATTCACTGTTCCAATTGTTCCTGGTCATTGCAACAGCATGGACATCTCTTTCTCAGAGTCCAAGACAAGGTTCAAAACTCAGCATCAACAGATCTGTTGCATTACTTTAATGTGACCCATATAAGCAACCTAAAATGAAGTTCACATTTTTTATAAAATAATCTGTAAATCCTATGAACTTCCTAAAGAGGTTAATTAATCTCAAGTGAAAACTGCTAATCAGATAAAACACTGAAGACGTGTTGATGTTCAGAAAACTAAACTACTGCCGCAAAGTGAAAAGTGTTACATACTTTCCATGGCCACTACAGCTAGAGAACATTTAATGGCTTTAGACTGCAACAGGAGACTACCAAAGGTTATTTATCCTTCTACTAAGTATCTAACTCTATGCCAGTCAGCATAATTAAGTATCAGAATAAACTGCCCAAGGAGACGGGAATTTCCATCAGGCAAGCCTTTAAAGAAAAGGTCTGGCAAACATCTGTCAGGAACTGAGGACAGCTTATTCTACTCTGGGGCAAATGCATGAACTGGATCTGCATGTCTCAACGTTTAATGCATGCCTCACTGGAGGATGATGAGGAACACATTTTTAATCTGTTCCACAAGAACTGTCTCAGAAGGCTAACAAACAGCAGTCTGGACAATTTCTTGATATCCCATTCCAGCTCTATTGTCTGGTATTGCTACAATCAATGACAAGGCACAAAAGGAGACAAGAGAGAGCCATATAATCTAGCAGATGTACTAAGCCCTGGGAGAACAAGCATTCTTTTTCTGCCTATCAAAGATAATTACATACTGAAGCATATTCTGTATGGTACTAAATGGTTTTGGGCACTATTGTTGTAGTCTTCCAAGGAGAGAATTAATTCTTTCAAACTCCAAATGTGCTTCTCCTTTGGATGAGATATCCATAGTTTACTTCCTGAGTTTGGCCATATAAGTATAAATTTGGATAAATTAAAATTTCATCATGTTCCTATGTTAACAAAGTGTCTCATGAAAATATTAGATGGTCTAGCTGCCGTATACACTTGTACTATTTTTTAATGCTTGCCAGATGAGCAAGTGAAATAAAAAAATACATATACCCTAAATTATATAAACTCAGCCTATTAACAGCAATGTTATTTCTAATGGGTTGTTGAGTTCTCAGAAGACCTAAACACATAGTTGATTCACATAGCTATTCACTGGTTGTTAGGGCTGCATAATAAGCATTAATTTCTGGACAAATATGAAAGATTATATCTAATAATAAGAACAGTAACTTCACTATATTTCTCTGTCAACAGCCAAAAGTGCACAATTAAAACCAGCTAAACAGTGTAAAAACTATGAAATGGAAATAAAACCCTGCAAGTGTTTTTTCTTTTATCCTATGCTAACCATTGGAATAGTCTTATGCCATTTAGATCATTATGGTTTTTATTTTGTGAAGGATGAGGATTTTTTAATGGAGTGGTATCCCTCAGCATTACTGTTCACTTGTAAGAGGCATTGTTTTTATGAACATTATTCCACACTAGGCCTTAGCAGTCCCTAACATCAATTACATTAGCTAATGATTCCCTAACATTTTTAATAATTCTAATGATTTAAGAACTGTAACTTTTAAATTCATGATTGTACATGTTTATGCACTGAGAAAAATCCTTATTTGCTTTACAGATATTTCCACTACCTTTTGAAGATACTTCATTAAAATTATCGCTATTGATTTGGCCTGGTCAATCTTTACTTCAGAGCTCTATGTTCATGTATGTAGTACAGATTTACCTTGATGACTTTGTGTTGTTCAAACTTGCACTTTGCTCTTAGCCTATTGCCTGCCAGATTTCGAATAATTTTCTTGGCTGAATCTAAATTATGATGTTTTGGCAATATTTTCTCTATCTTTCCTAATCCACTCTGAAGAATGCCAATTAGTCAAAAGCCAGTTGAACACTTCTGACAATTGTCCATTAGAGAACAGGTACATGACAGTTTAAGTGACTATTTAACATAATCATGTATTCAGTTCTCAAAAATACAACAACTCTGTTTATTATGCTAAAAACCTGAATACAGGAATATTAACTGAAACACTTATACTCTCCATTAATAATATTAATTCTCCATTTTTATTTATGATCTTATATTACACATTGTTTTGTATCATGGCATTCCAAACCAAACCCTACATAATTCTAATCTCAAGCTGTCCACTGTACCAGGGTGACCAGTGAGCAGCATTGGATAGAACAGTGCAAGCAGTTTATCAGCTTACTTTTTGATATCAACTTGATCAGTCTATCACTGGGATTCCATATTCACAGCCTTTGTCGAACTTCCATTCCCTACTCTTTCCCTAAATTACTGAATGACACTTCAATTAACTTGACCACATCCAAACAAAGACCAGAATAAATAGAAAAAAAAAGAAAATTCAACATTATTTTGTCCCTTTACTAGTAAGCCAATTTCCTTTCCCCATTTTTTTCTGTTAACTTCCTCCTCTTATCTAAGTAGTTCATCAGAATGAGGAGAAAGAATTACCTTTGCCTCACTTTAGCGGGACCAATGAAACAAACTAGAAAGAGACTAAAAGGTCTAAAGGTTTCTATGAATGTTTTTGGAAGATAAAAAGTTACAAGTAGATGCTGAATCTTCTAATCTTTACCTGTTTTTTAACCTTCTCCTGTCTTATATCCATTCATCACCAAATGGTCTTGCAGAGAATACAGATTTCAACACAAAAGTATTACCACACACAAACACAAAAACCTTTTCTAGGGAAGACAGTTTTACAGATTGCTGGAAAACAAACAGATTCTCTCTCTTTAGGGCCATATACATGTCACTCATCATTCTCAATGCAGAGGATTACTCCAGCTTCTGTTACTCATTAGTAGCACAGGTAAACACCTGGTCTATTGTACAACTGTACTAGGCAGACAAACTGGAGAACTGGATGATTTGAAACTTGCCTCCAGAACTCTCAAAATCATGGGATACTTCATATTTACAAACAACAAACCACCCTTCAGCATGACTGGACTTCCCATATTCCTTCATTCTCCAACACTCAAAAATGGACTGTACAATTTTTAGATGAGATTCCCTGGTACAGAGGCTATGCTACTCTAAAGCTTTGTGCAGCATTTGGCTTTTAAGTCCTCCCTCAAGGAGGGAATAAGCCCCTCTGTTACAAAGGAATACTGGAAACTGGTGTTTATCTTTGGTCTGTGCTCTGTCACAGGCCTTCACACCTGTTTTGTGTGTTTGTTACAGAGAGTAATACACAGTAAAATAAAGTACTGATTGTTGTTCTTGTGAGTATATGAAGATTTCAAATTAGCTAAGATATGGAGAGTATATACTAACTTGTATCAAATAAAACCAAAACATCCAGCTCCTTTTAAATTAACTTGCACATTACAATAAAAGGTGAATTATGTCCCACAGTTTAACTTACAGTTAAATAAATGTAAAAATGTATAACTGTTTTCAATACTGAAGGTATCAGAACACAGATTCATAATTATTTCTTCCAATTACAGCAACAAAAATCAAGAAACATACTTCATATTACTGAAATTAAATGGGGATTAATACAAATTTTACCTTTCTTGCAGTTGTTTTTTCTACCATGGTGCTATTGCTGTCAGAATTTTCAACTTGAACTGTTTTTGTAGACCCAAATTTGGGCATTTTATAGCTGTTTAGCTAGTTGTATCTTGTATCAGTGGGTTCATCCTGTGTCTGAAAAACAAACAAACAACATTACATAAATATACACACTGCAGTGTCATTTCAGGACAAATGTTACTGCAGATGGTAGCAGAGCTGAATAGTACCCCAAAAAAGATGATAATAATGATACCTGGCTTCAAGCATCTTCCTCACATGCAGCTCAAACCTTGGGGCAAAACCCCAAAAGGTCTAACATAGCTGATGCTGGGGACTGTGTAATGAAAAAAGCACCAAGTCAGCTGCTAAACGACCTCATCCCTCTAGCTTTACCTTTTTGGGTATTTTAACACTTCATGTTAAACATCCTAAGGCTTAGAAAAATGATGAAGATTTCTAGCAACACTGGGGAGAGAAATAAAGCTTCCTAGCCTGGTATATTTCAAATTAGTATGGAAAAAAAAGTCCAGTTTTGTTATTTATGATCCTTTCTGAATCAAGAGATAACTGTTAGAAGAAAAATTTTCTAAAGCTTAAACCTGGAACTAGAAACCTCGATTTCCACTGTCTATCAAATCAATTACATAGGCCACTTCTAGAGACAGATATATATCTATACAAAGCTCCAAGAGCTGTGTAGTGTTTCATCTCCATGGTATACCAAACAAGTGTCACTACAGATTCACATGACGGAAGAGGCCCAACTTGCCTCTTCCACAGCAGGAAGAGCCACCGTATTTGTAAGAATGGCTGAGAGGAAAGGTCACATAAAAGGTAAAACTGCGTTTGACAGCACTTTAGAGCTGGTGACCTTTTATGGGTCTTTTTGAGTTGATGTATTTTGTTACAAGTATTTACATGATCACAATCTTACTGAGTTGTTGTAATTTCATGCCTGATCAAGTCATCATTTCAGGTGCAACACTTCTATTTGTTGCTTTATCATCGAGACTTTGGGATCATCATGTAGCGAATTTGCTGCTGTTTTAGGACCATGGCAACTATTTTGGTTTGACACAGTTAACCGACAACAAATCCAGTGCAGGTGACTTTGAGAAAACTATTTTGCACACTACACCTGACATATGAGACATTGATATTCAAACAAACTTTTCTAACATCCTGCCCACACATCAATCCCCTACAAAACTTAAACCAGGGAAAATTAGAATATTTGTCTAAGATTAATACTACAGTGTAACACACTACTTTCTTAATCTTCCAGAATAGGAGGGGAAGAAAAGTTCAAAAAGCTAAATTCCTGAGACGTAGGAAATGTTGCACTAAGGTCTACTGTTTTCCTCTACACCTGAGGTTTTTTTTTTTTGTTGGGTTTTTTTAATACTAACCACAAGCTTATGAAAAACAGGAAGAGATTAATTAGAAATAATTTCACATTCTATAACCAGAATCTTGTCTCCACTATGATACATGATACAATATTGTGAAACTCATACTGTTCTGCTCTTACCTAAGACACAGGAAACATTAGCATATTCCCTTCATTTATGGAGTGTTAACAGGATTTATGCAGCCTTACTGATACAGAGAGCAATTGTTCAATTTTAATAAATATTAAAGTACATGGTTATAAGCCTTTTGTTTTTAGTCAGTTTTTGTAACAGCTGCAGGAATAAAAAATGGTTACCAGTTCAAAGAAGACAAAGAAACACTACACTGAGTTTCCTGTAATTTACAAAAATTTTCCTTAATCCTAAAAGAAGCAACAAGTTACTATCTTCACAGAATACTACTGTGCTAATTACACCAAACATAGCGTATTACCATAGTAGCAAATATCTGTTCCCATGGGTTTAAAAAGTGACAAGTCATAAATCTGCTTTTGCTCATTTAGCCTCTCAAATCCTCTCTCTAAATTTCATTTGTAACAATTCCTATTTATATATATCATGATTACAACTACTTTTAAAAAATCAATGGGTCAAAGTTTTCTTTATTATTTTAATCAGAATATTTCTCATTGCATATGTTGCTGTTTCCTTTCCTTCCTTTTTACTGCTACCTGACTCCCTGAAACTATCTCCATTCCTGCTTTGCTTCTCTTCCTTTCCTGGTTTCATATGCCATTCTTTGGTGTATGACAGCAAGAAGCCAAACTTAATGAGCTTAGTAAAATTTATTAGCTTAGGCTTGGCTCTCTTGGTCTCATTTGTCTCACCAGCAGGAGTTGCTCTTCACAAAAGGCCTCCCTGCATGTCTTACCTGGACAGCACAATTTTTTAAAGTGATAGAACAAAAAAACCCCAGCCTCAAGTATTGTATAGGGGCAAGAGGATTATGCACACACCTTCAAAATAGATTTCAATTAAAGGTATTTTTAATAATACATTTAGCTTAAGATACAAATAGAAGTAAATGAAAACAGAAAGCATAGGATGATTCAAATGATCAACAGGCAGAAGCAGATATGCAAGAAGCTCCACCTGAACATGAGAAGAACTTTACTGTGCAGGTGACAGAGCACTGGGACAGATAATCCAGAGAGACCAGAGAATCTCCCTCACTGGAGGTATTCAAAAACTCTCTGGACACAATCCTGTGCCATGTGCTCTGGGATGGCCCACTGTGGTCCCTTCCAACCTGACCCATTGATTCTGTGATCAAAAGTAAAAGTGAATTCATTAAATTCTTGACCCAAGTCAAATATGTTTTGGAAAAAAACCTGCTTTGGAAGTTCACTAAAACTGAGTGTCACATACTGGATTATCAAAGCAGAACCACCACACTGTAAGACTAACAAACAGCACTATTTTCATAAAGTGTTTCAAGTACCAGACTGCTGTTGCACAATGACTGTGCAAAATTTAAAACGGACGTAAATGCATCACATATTTGAGAAAAAGTACTTTTCATAAAAAGTAGATATTTAAAAAATCATTACAACATCACTATGGTGGCCAGAAATTTGGCAAACTATTCAATTGGTGATTACATAGTGTATAATAAAATTTTCTGTGGAAGAAGTAATTTCACTGACATTTCATCTTTTATTTCCATTTGTCTGGAGTTCAATGCCATTTCAACTCAAGTTCTAAACACGAATGCTTGCATTAATAGTGAAAATGTAGAATATTAACAGGGTCTTCCAGGGAAACCTAGATCTGTCTGCTTTGAGTTTTCCTCACAGCCATTTCTTAATGCAATTACTGGTTTATTAGACAATCTTGATGGCACATTTTGAATCACACTAAATTAAAAGTTAAAGTCTTTACATTCAAATTATTCTCCTTTGTCACAACAAGCAGTGTCCTCGCTTTTCATCTGACACACAGACACAGCTGTGCTTTCTCTTAAATAAACTGATTTCAAGCTTTTCAATAAAATAGAATTTGCTTCCCACTAAAGAAACTTCTCTGTATGTAACAAAATCAGATATACTTATTTTATGTTTGGATATCTTTCCTGCACATTCATTACCAATCATGAGTCATACTACTGGAAATACTGTTGAACTCTTCTCTCAATCATTTTTCAACTAAGGAACTAAAAATTCTATTTTCTCCTTGAAGTAACAAAGGTAAGCATTTAGACAGATCTATGGGCAGTGACAAAACACAAGGATTATTTAATATAAAAAGCCCTGGACAGAAAAAAAATTTTAAAAACAAAACAAAAAAAAAATCCCATCAACCACCAGAATTTCACATATAATTAGCTACAGAAAACTAGTGATATAATAAATCTCTAATGCCAACAAGTTACTGTATTAATTTGTATACACTTATATCTAGCACTTATGAAAAAGCTTGTCTTTACCTATGTACAAAAAAAAAAAGGGAATTCAAGCAGTACTACAACAGTGCTACTGCCACTGTCATTCACTCCTTTACATCTTTCAGTCTGTTCTTCCGAGAAATTAAGGGCCATGTGTTTGTGTTAGATGCATATGTATGATTCACTAATGACTTCCAAGCCTGTAGATGGATTTTCTTTTAATTTGACAGCAGCAGAAATTTTCAAATCTATTAAGCACTCACAAATTTCATGGGAAAAGGTGACCAGTGGATAAAAAGAATAAAAAAAATAATCCATCACTGTTTTTCACATGGGAAAAATGACCTTCATGACATACTGCCTGTAAGAAAACTGTGGATTGAGATGGCCTTTGCAAACCACTGTCCTTTTTTATCTAAGTTATGGGGGGAAGTTTCAGTTGAGACCTGCACATTACCAGAGTCAACAAGACACAAATTGCTAAGAAATTAAGCATTGTTAGTTCTGGTGCTCACTGAACTACTTGTTTCCTTTCTGGTTCAGAGTGTCTTCCCTTTAACATCTCCAGGACAATGTTACAGGATGCTTTGGGAAGGTTTTGTTTGGTAGCCCTGTTGTACATCTGATCTTGAAGGTTAGCTGCCTGCTAGTACTACATCAAAGCAAGGGGGCACAGCATTAACCTTCTATAAGAATACCAGTAATTGATAAGTTAATTTTCAAGAAACTGCATATACCCTCCTGCTCTAGAAAGCATCTGCATTTGAAAAGCAGGCATCTAGCAATCTTCTCAACTACCTCTGCTTTCCTGTATTTCTTGTATCTTACCTCATCTCCAGGGAAGAAGAAAACCAAACCAAAACAAAAAACCAAAAAAACCCAACGAAACAAACAAAAAAATCCCTCTCTTTCAATAAGGATTTACTCCAGACTGGGAAACAGTGAATCAACTCTACTAAATTTCTGCTATAAATAGTTGACAGGAATGCTTCATAATGTTATAATAAAATCAAACTACTGAAAATTACAACTATGGCTACATATAAATTATCAAGAAGTAAAGAATTATCAAGAGCAGATCTGTAGAGTGGAACAGCTGGTAATAAAAATCCAAATTTACACTAGTCACATTCAGCAGATTTGCTCTGAACTACTTCTAGACCAGTTCCATGTACTAAATGCACATTAAAGTTTGGAGCACGTTCAATAAATTCCTAAACATGTCCCAGCTTAAACTAGGAAGAATCAACCTCTGAAAACATTACACTTAGCAAACTAAACTACAGTGAGGAGAGAGGATAGTCACTGATTTAAACTAAGACTGACCTGATTTTCTC